CGACCCTCTTGTCATCCCACAACAATTCGGGTTTCGAGCCAAGCACTCGTGCCCCCAGCAAGTTCACCGCATAGTGGAATATATCCTCAGCGGTTTTTATCCTCGTCGTCAAAAAACCATCGCGGTCTTCTTCGACATTACCAAGGCATTCGACAGAGTCTGGCACGAGGGCCTTATCTACAAATTGTACGACTTAGGCCTCCCAGACCGTCTCGTTCGCCTTGTAGCCTCCTATCTGAAGGATCGTACCTTTCGCTTTAGACACGAAGGCACGCTATCCTCTACTCGTCAAATCAAAGCCAGTGTCCCTCAAGGATCTGTGCTTGTGTGCTCTGAGCATGCTGGACAGACACAGTAAAATGTCCCTCCGCAACAAGCGAACTCTATATAAGGTCTGCATACGACCTGTCATGACCTACGCGGCCCCCATTTTCGCACATGCTAAGCCCAAAGCTATAAATGAATTTCAAATAGTTCAAAATCTATTCTGTCGTAGGGCCACAAACTCGCCCTATTATGTCCGTAATGCCGACCTACACCGAGACTTAGAGCTCCCAACAATCCAGCAGTTCCTTAAATCACTCTCTGAGAGATTTTTCAAAGCCTCAGAGTCCCACCCAAATCATCTCATTCGTGAGACAGCTGCCTATGCAGCCCCTATCCACACTCGCCATAGTGTGCGCTGACCGAGAAACTCTCTCTCGGACCCCCCCCAACAAGCTTTCGGCTGACCTGAACTGCCTCCTGGCGGCTGAGGCCGAGCCTACATAACACATCCCTTAATCTGCCTTAGGCACTCGTCTAAGTGGCTTTTTGCCGCTTGCGCCCTCCTTTCTGCCAAGGAGGGTCGCGTTCGTATACGGCTTAGAGCTCTCTAGTTAGACCGTTAAGCCAGTCCCTAAAAGGTGGGGTTTAGTGGGTAAAAGTCTCCACATAACCACGCAGCCGGCTGCGTGGTATGCTATGAGCATTCCCCACCTCCCTCCCCCCGTTTTTCGGAGGGTAATATATGCCCATATTTGCTTCGGGCGCAAAAAAAAAAACGAAATTTATACCCGCTAATAAATAAACAAAGGGCCCGCAAGCACCTGTCTGCTGTGTTATTTTTAAGAATCTATCTATTTTGAGAACATTTACATTGGAACATGCTCCTTCTTTTATTTAAATGGTTCAAAACATTTCTCGAGTATGGAAAATGTTGAAAGATTTGATGAGCATTTGTTTCATTATTGGCTCGGAATGAATAAACAACAATTTGAACTTTTATTATATGAAAGCCGCATCTTATAAAAACAAATAGAGACATTTTAGGTTTAGGTGCTCTTCCATATATTCCAAATGCAATTTATAATCAAAATAATGATAATGCGATAATTATATGTGATGGGACATATATTTTTATAAACAAAAGTTCCAATTATGTTTCAAAATATATTCCTTACATAAATACAAAAACTTGTTAAAACCATTTTGCTGGTGATAGCTAATGGCTACATTGTAGACTGCTTTGGCCCATATGATGCATATGTTTTCCATAGCTGCAAGCATTTTAAATAAATTCAGTGTTCGATTAAAAAACAGGAATAATGCTGAGCAAATCATAAACGTGATTAGAGAAGGATTTCCATTAAATAATAATTTATCTGATTTTATAAATAGTATGAATATGTATAGACGAACATCTGATTTTACTAGTATTACAACTCCAATACTAATATTATATTCCCCCGTCTAGAATATAGTGAAGTTATATTATTTGCCCTAGGAACATATCAGATTCAACAGGCAAGGTCCTATTATAGTGAACATGTCAGGTTACACGGAGGGTATCGAATTGAAATAAGCAGAGAAAACATTAATGTAACAGAGTATTGTTTGAGAGGAATGGGACATATAATTCACTTATAAGAGGCAAAATCAAATTCAGACACATTTCCAGAAAAGTATATTATGTTTATATATTAATTGAAAATAATATGTCTGGAAGGGAAGCTATAATAGAGTATTGCTGTAATTGTTTAGTTGGTAGAAGAACAGTTGGGTGCTGTGCACATGTTATGATGCTTGTGTGGTACCTTGGGTGGACCGGGCATCAGCCGACAAAATCGCCGGTGCCAACATCACTCCTTGATGTTGTAGTTGTAAGATGATGAATAAAAAGTAATTTTGTCTAGCCTACTATTTCATTAAAGTACTCCTAAATTCTACCATTACACTTCATTTACTCCCGTAACCTACCATTACTCGATTTTTCAATACATATGCAACTTTAGTATTGAAGACTGAAAGACAGTAGGTATCTATCAACTAACTCTCTTCAGCTAGAATTGAAATGGTCAAATTACAAAAAAGCCTTGAAATCTTTCAGGAAAGACTTCGTGTGATAATAATTACGCCATCCTTGTTTTTTACACTTCATACTGTGCAAGCTAGTGCAATATATGTAGGTGTAGTTTTTATTGCATTATCGGTCATAGTTGGTCGTCGAATCGGTCAACTTCACGAGACGGTAAGGCACGACCCTTTTTGACATCGAACTCTAGGAGTATGATGCACTTACTTAGGGTGCGCTTTAAGAGATGTTCTATTATTGGGTAATAAAATTATTTTAGAGAAATCTAAATAAATGGAAACGAGAACTACACTTTTAGGCTACATCGCAGTCGGATAAAGCGTCCAAGCAAGGTTTTTCGTTAAAAATCAAAATGTGCAATAAATTGCCTTTAGAAATAACAAGACTTCCATTAAACGCGTTTCGACAAGTGACAAAAACATACTTTTTGAATCACGCTTTCTATAATATAGAAGAATATAGGAAATGTTCATTTTCTGACTTGCTTGACATGTAAATGTAGATGTATTTTAATTTGTAATTTTAATAATCTTATGTAATCTAATATCATTTGAATTGATTGTAATTTTGACATATCAATGTTATATTTAACGAAATGATCAATAAAAAAGAGTAAAAGGTATTTGTTGATTCAGCCTTAAAAATATTGTTGACGTTATTATAAAAAATCGTGGCTATTTAGATATTATATTTAAACGTGATTATGTTTACAACATAAAAACAAACCAATCTAACTATAGTTTGTTTTGGGACATGAAAAAAAAAGTCAAGTCCAGCTCCTATAGAAATTTGGCCATCCTCCTTTGACCTCTTCATTTTTGGAATTAATACTCTTGAATGGAATATCGAAGCGGTCAAATTTGGACGCTTGGCGTTTGAGAGGTTAAACAAAATATTCTATCCTACCCTCTCGCAGGGTAAATCCTATAGATGTATATGTTTGTCTTTTTTTAGTGTCGCTTTTTCGTTAAATCGAATTTCAAATCATGATTCTAAAGAAGTTTCCACCTAAACAAAATATTCCATCCTATTCTCTCGCAGGGTAATATCCTATAGATGTATATGTTTGCCTCTTTTTAGTGTCGCTTTTTCGTTAAATCGAATTTCAAATCATGATTCTAAAGAAGTTTCCACCTAAACAAAATATTCCATCCTATTCTCTCGTAGGGTAATATCCTATAGATGTATATGTTTGCCTCTTTTTAGTGTCGCTTTTTCGTTTAATCGAGTTTCAAATCATGATTCTAAAAAGTTTTTTCTTAAACAAAATTTTCTATCTCATTCTCTCGTAGGGTAAATCCTATAGATGTATGTTTGTCTTTTTAGTGCCGCTTTTTCGTTTAATCGAATTTCAAATCGCAACGATCTAAAGTTTACACTTCAAAAACAGTTAAAAATGTAACAAAAATTAAAGAATGCAGCGTTGAGTTATAATATTGTGTATACACACTAGAAACATTGAATTTTTAATTAAAGTGCAACATTTCAATGATGAGGAACCTGTGTTATATCTGAGTAATAAATAATTTCATCTTAGTGCCAACAAGCGACATCTGGTGAGGATAAGTTTGGAAAATTCAAAAGAGCACGCCTCATGCGCGTTTTTACTTTTTCATCAAAATTAAATTATTTTTTTTTATCTTTTAAACGTTTATAAGTCTGATAACAACCAGCGATAGGGATCTTCCTGAGGATAAATCGAAACTCATTCAGAAAGATTTATTTCAATTCGTTGTCAAACATGTGCACTGACTAGCTGACAGCCGCACTAAACATTTTTAAACTACATTTTTATAAATACAACTGGACAAATGAATAAAAATATATATTGACTTTATAATTTAATATATCTAGTTTCCAAAACATCCTTTTTATATTGATTTAGTGTCTGAATTGAAACATACTAGGTAACAATTTTCTATTGCAAAATCGCCACATAGCGGCATGTCGACAGTAGAGCGTAGTGGAAACCGTGGTTAACTATAACATTATAACGTCGAAAAATTCACTACCCCTTGTAACCATTGGTGCTGTTAAGTGCTCGAAGCGTCAGGAATACACATAAAATAAGTCAATATACCCGACAAAATCCGTAAAAAAAAAGTTTTATTTAACTGTGTAGTGTTTGCGTAAACAATTACTGAATTGAATAAGGTAACGACTTACTCAGTTATAAAGCACACAATAATACTTTTATTTTATTAAACTGGTTAAAGATTCCAAAATCGATAGCATTTTAACTAAGTATTTCATATTTCGTTAATATAAACCTGATAAAATTATTTTTTCCAGTTATGATGGTGTATTGGTTATGTCTTTTTGCCCAAAAAAAAAAAAAAAAACAGTGACCAAGAGAGAAATTATTTTCTAGCACGTTTAATATTATTATAATAATGTCCTCTAGACCGAAATTTGGTCACGGCGGCCAGTCACAACGGTACTAGCAATCTGCAAAGAACATAATTATAGTGTCCAGAGTATGTGCGCAAGCACAGGTTGACTCTATTCTCTCACTCTCATAGTCCGAGTACTCCGACTATACCGGAGATATCAGGCGCGTACCAACAGCTTTATGTGCTTTCCGAGGTATATGCGGCAAGTAAAAAGAATAACAAACTGAGCTGCGTCGTTATACCATTATACGCACCTTTGATTTCTTCTTACTAGTTTTAGCATCTTTGTCTTTCGCCTTGAAATCTTTGATTTCCGGCGGCGGCGGCGGCTCCGGGGAATTGGACGCTGTGTTTGGACCGGATTGTTTCTCAAGCTCCGCGATATCGTTGTAGAAGGACATCAGCTCGTCGCCGATCTCTTTTTTCGGTTCCTGTGTAAGAATTTGACAACCAATATAATAAAAAGTAAATAGTTTACCGGTACAGCCTAACCTAAGTCCACTGTTGAACATAGGCCTTCCCCATAGATTGCCTACAGGGGAATATTTGCTACAGATGCCACGTTTGGCCGGCGGGGTGGCAACTGCAGTTTTTTTAGTAGTTACTAATAAGACGCTGATGCTCGCCTACCGATTTGTTTCCTTCTGTCGTTGAAGGTAGTCCCCTGTGATAATGAGTGATGTAATGTAATGTAATGTTATACAATATCGTATTCGAGTTAATTTTTATTTTTTTATTTTATTTTATTAATAAGGCACACAAACAGATTTAAGACAATACAAAACACATTTACAGTAACAAAAATATTATAACTAGTCTATAATCCAATAAAGTGTGCACAGCAAAAGAAAATATGACAAGTATGACCGAAAAATAAAGTAATAATACATAGTACTAGTGACAGTTAAAAAAAGAACTTATTTTATGATATTCGTGATTTTACATATTTCACGTAGCAATTACAGATCTTCTAAATTGTGAAATATTAGAATTAAAAATGTCCAGATCAGCGTTACGATGTCTCAGCTCGTCAAAATTTCGACACATTCGAATGACCGGATAAAAGAAAGACGTGTTGTTTCTGTAAACATCAAGGCGAAAGATACGCGGGTTACGGAGACGGGATCGACTGTTAAAATTAATTAAGTTAAGCAATTCTGGGCAATCGATGGAGGAGTGAATGATTTTTTGAACAAGCTCAAAATATTGTCTACGTTTATCTAATTTGGTAACTCCAAAGTAATTAACTCTTTCCTTATACAATGGCAACTGGCGGATCAATCCATGTTTACGATATAAGCTCCGCAGAAAACATCTCTGGACTCGTTCAATATTAGCTATATGTACTTCATAATAGGGTGACCAGACTACTGAGGCGTATTCGGATCAGGTCTCACAAGAGTGTTAAAAAGATATATTAGACTAAGGGGTCTCTTGAATTCCTTCATAACTCGTATAACAAAACCAACTAACTGATAACCACGTTGCGTTAAGTGATTAAAATGTTGCTTAAAATCTAGTTTTGAGTCAAAGATAACGCCCAAATCTTTAGCAACATTACTTTCAGACAAAGGTTGATCATTGATATGGTATGTATACTTTAGACGAGTTTTCTTAGTTGTGAAAGTTATATAAAAACATTTAGTTACATTCAAATGCATTTTATGATGAGAACACCAGGTATGAATACTGTTAATGTCCCGTTGCAACAAGAGGCAGTCATTAACATCATCGATTATACGGAAAACTTTCATATCGTCAGCATATAGTAAACATTCACTTGTGATATGGTCTACCAAGTCACTAATAAATATAATAAACAAAAGAGGGCCAAGATGGGCCCTTGAGGAACCCCGGATGTTACATGTACTGGTTTGGAGAGGAAACCTTTTATTGCAACGATCTGACTACGTCTAGAAAGATACGAAATTATCCAACGCAACAAATTGCCATGTGTCCCGCTATGCTGCTAATTTAGCCGCGAGTATTCTATGGTTGACTTTGTCAAACGCCTTTGAAAAGTCAGTATAAATCGAGTCTACTTGGCCTTGGGTAGCAAACGCTTGACAGATGTAATTTTTGTAGGCAAGTAAATTACTAACGGTTGATCTTTGATCTACCAGTAACAAAACCATGTTGTAAGTTTGATATGCTTTGTTTCACGTGGTTGTAAATATGGTCATAAGCCAACGATTCAAAAATTTTAGCCATACAGGATAAGATACTAATTGGCCTATAGTTTTCACATTTTGTTTTATCACCAGACTTATGAATTGGAATTACATAGGCATTTTTCCAAACAGAAGGGAATATGCCGCTCTTAATAGACTTATTGAAAATTATAAATAACGGCAAACTAAGTTCTTCACAACACGCCTTAACAAATAATGATGGAATTCCATCGGGACCCGGACCTTTGTGAGCCTCTAGTATTTTGATCTTTCTAATAATGTCATCTCTACTAATCTTGCACTATCTAATGGTTATATTAGATAGTGCAAGATTAGACCTGTCCGGTATATTAAATTTGGGTTCACAGTTGTCAGGTTTTTCATAAAAAGAAACAAAATACGCTGAAAAAAGTTCACAGATTCCTTGGGGATCTGTAGCAGTTTTAGCATCATGAGCCATAGATTCAGGGATACCTAAATATACTATATATGAAATGTTTAACGTTTTTACCTAAACTATTCTCGAACTTCATTTTGAATCGATTTGTAGCAGGCTTTAATTAAGTGTTTACTACGAGTTCTCAGCATATTGTATGTATCATAATCCCTCGGATTACTAAATTTTTTATACAACTTATGATACTTTTTCTTATCTCGAAGGCAACGAATTAGAGGAAAGTTAAACCAGTATGGGTTAGGATTACATTTTTTAAATGGTGCAACAGCAAAATAGCTGAATTAATTTCTTTATACATAGCATCAACAGCACTATCAGGGTCCAAGTCATTTAACAGTTCATGCCAATTAACTTTTCTTAAGTGATCTTTAATTTTTGATCAAAATTACATTTATGATAATTTGGTTTCAAAAGTTTACGATTAAATTTAACAAAATTTGGTTTATTATTTGTATAATTAAGATTAATTTCTATAGATGGATGATGACCGTCCAGTTTCAATAATGGTTCTACTTCTTTTACTCTTATATAACAAATTACTAAAGTTTTTTTTTTATAAAATTGAAAACTTACTAGGACTCATGCTAATTGGTAAAAGAATACTACAGCCCACGGGAAACCGTAACCAACTTCAAACAAAGAAGGCTTCAAATACGTTTTCACCTCTGAACACCAAGACGGAATGCCTCAGTTCATAATTAAATTGTCCCATAAGAAAGAGCACTGTTACATAGATAGAGCCTGAGATACAAGCTTATTGCTTTGTTCAGGCGCAGATGCAAATATATATTGTTAAAAAAATTTCCTGAATAAAGAAATTATTATTATTTGGGGTATCTATATAGTTACTCATCTGGTTGGGTTCTATAAATATATAACTATAAATTAAATAGACCGGGAGCTGGTGACAGATGATGTTCCACGATTTTGTCGTGCATGCCTTTTTAAGGCTTGACAACTAACCCTAAAATATCAAAGATTGTCGGGGCTTTAGCCCCCCCCGCACGTCCTCTTCATAAGGAAAAGCGCTTTTCTTTGAGTAGCGAATTTTTGTGTTTTTCCGTGATAGTACACTGCATGCCATTATAATATACGGAAGTTCAAGCAAATTGAAGCTCTAATAATTGATGGCATGCACCCCGCAGCGGCCCAAGATGATCAAAGGGTTCTGAAAACCTGAAAAAAATTAAAGGGCAATTCCGTGTTTTCAAATTGCAAAGAATGGAAGTTTTGGTAATAAAACACTCTGAAAAAATTGGCATGCACCCCTCGTATGACCATGGCATGCAGTTTGGAATCACGGAAAATCGGACTTCAATTTTTACAGAGTTTTCCGGAAATTTTTCACCGTTGGTCATACGAGGGGTGCATGCCAACTTTTCCAGAGTGTTTTTATTACAAAAACTTCCATTCTTTACATCGGCATGCAATTTGAAAACACGGAATTGCCCTTTAATTTTTTCAGGTTTTCAGAACCCTTTGATCATGTTGGGCCGCTGCGGGGTGCATGCCATCAATTATTAGAGCTTCAATTTGCTTGAACTTCCGTATATTACAATGGCATGCAGTATACTATCACGGAAAAATGCGAAAATTCGCTACACAAAGAAAAGCGCTTTTCCTTATGAAGAGGACGCGCGGGGGGGCTAAAGCCCCGACAATCTTTGATGACGAAAGGGAAAGAAACCGGCGAACGATATCGAGGAGCACCGCCTTTTGCATTTAAGCCCGGAGCGGTCCGTCTGATCTGAGGCTGACTTCCCAGTTAGCCTCTTGGGTCATCTGAGGCGACTGGGACTTCGTGGGGATTAGCAGAGACGACTACAGAAATAATTTCGACCGGCAGACCACCTCACATGTCGGTCACCTCGTGAGCCAGGTCCAGATATTTTGTTCGTTTATCTGTTTCGCTTTCACGAGGTTCTCGTCATACGGAATGGTAACGTCAACTTAAAATATCCTTGACTGTGCCCGGTCCATCAGCACAATATTAGGCTTATTCGTAACAATAGTCCTGTCTGTGATGATGGCCCGGTCCCAGTAGAGCCTGGCGCGGTCATTTTCGAGCACGGCTTCCGGCAAGTACTTGTAATACGGCAATTTCCGGTCCACGAGACAGTATTTCAGAGCGGCTCCTGGTGTAGAATTCTGGCTACTAGGTTGTGCCTGTGCAAGTATTCAGAGTAAGAAAGCGCCGAACAACCGGAGATCACATGCCTAAGCGACTCGCCGAGATGGCGACAAGCTCGACAGACGTCAACGGTGCCATCCTTTAGGATGTATCTCCGATAGTTGTTGGTCTTAATAACCTGATCCTGTATTACACAGACAAAACCCTCGGTTTCCCCGAAGAGGTCACCGAAACGTAGCCAGTTGAGGGAGGCGACTGTATCTACGAAGGGCTCTTGTAGTCCTGTAGTACCTCCTGTGGAGCTCCTTCTCCTTACATACGGTCTCCCGGTGGGAAACTCTATGTACTGCTGGGTCCTGGCATTGCTCGTTGGCTAAGGATAGAGGGGTAAGCCCTTTATCACTAGAAATGACGTCCTTATAGAATGGATCATCCGATCTCGCCAGGAAGTAATGACGGAGGCTGCACACTTCACTATTATGCATGGTGAGCGCGCTCAGGAAGCAACGTCCACCATGCTTTCGCGGCAAGTACAGCCTCATTACCGACGGTCTCGGATGATGCATCCTATTAAATTCAGTCTGAGTCCACCTGAGTAAGCCAAAGGTATACATGAGGACAGGCATGACCCAGCCGCTATATGCGTGTGTCTTATTCACATCGGACAAAAGGCTGTTAAGCACTTTGGTCAAGCGTGCATAAAACACTTCGCAAACTGACAGTTTCATACCAGCCTCATCGACACCGATGTTCGTGACATACCCAGGTATCGGTATGTTTCAGCCTCGGAAAGGGTCCCTAAGTTGACGAGCATAGATAAGTCTATGCCTTCAGAGTTAGCAACCCTTCCCCTTTCAACATGGAGGACCGCACACTTATCTGTCCCCAGCTCCATTCCAATAGAATTGCTAAATTCACAAGTGATGTTTAGCAATTCCATAAGATGGGAGCGACTGGAGGCGAATAACTTGAGGTCATCCATATAGAAAAGGTGAGTCACTTTTGTACCTCCTTTCCGAAGCTGAAATGCCCTCCCGGAGTCCTCCAGTAAAGTACTGAGAGGGTTCAAAGAGAGGCAGAACCAGGTTGGATCAGACATCGCTGGATTTATGCGGCTTTCCGCAGCCGTCATCCGCTCGCCTAGATGACAGAGGATCGTACTCCACTGCCCCATACACTGCCCGAGAAAGTCTTTAACTGTACAGTCAATCTTGTACAGCTCGAGCACCCTCTTTAGCCATGTATGCGGCACCGAGTCGAACGCCTTTCTGTAAATTATTATATTACTAGATTATCGGTTCACTCTGGACCTCCATCTAGCACACAGGCAATATTAGGTCTACGATGGAGCGAGTTTGCCGAGCGAGTTAACACGCACCTTGAAAATGTTAAGGTTATAGGCACTCGGAAAAACAGACGCCGGCAGGGCATTCCACTCCTTGGCTGTGCGCATAATGGAAGATGACTTATAGCGCTCAGTGTGAATATTCGGAATATCAATCAAGTGTGGATGGTAGCCTGCAGTACGTCTGGTACTCCAATAGTATAATGGATATAGCGGCATGAGCTTATGAAGCTCATAGGCACACTCTCCAAAGTACAATCTGTAGAAGATCGACAAACAAGCAACTTGGCGGCGGCGAGCTAAGCTGTGAAGTTTAGTTTCCCCACCAGATTTTTGTCGGTCATGGCTCTGCTTTGCACGGAGCCGAATGCGGCAATTTGACATTTTGCTAAGCCATCCCAAAGTTGACTGAAATACTCCATGCATGTTCTGACTTGAGCTTTATATAAAGTTAGAAGCTGTCCAGGCGTGTAGTATCGCTTCACCCTGTTTAAAATACCCATTTTTTGGCCGCAGTTTGTGCTTTCGACTCAATGTTAGCGCCAAAGTTGAGGTTAGCACTCAACTGTGTGCCGAGAAGCATGTACCTTGGAAATTAGGAGCAAGACCAAACGGAACTCCGGCTGTAATATGCATTAGGTCAGAAGAACAGCCATCTATGACAACCCTGATCAACCGTTCACTCTGAAAGTCAGATATCCAGTTGCAAGATTCGAAGGGGATGCCGTAAGCAGGAAGTTAACTCAGCAGACTTGCATGCCAAATACTGTCAAAAGCCTTCGAGATTTCGAGTGAAACTGCGAGAGCTTCACCGTTCTTCACGATGGCCTCACCATAGAAGTGCGAGACATACACAAGAAGATTCCCAATAAACAGTCCCCGGCGGAAACCATTTTGATGGTCACTGAGGAGGTCCTTTCTTTTAAGGTAGGTGTGTCAGCAGCTTACTGTTATACATTGTGTATACCTTTTCCATAACTTTACAAAGTATGGAGGTGATGGCGATTGGTTGATAATTATAGGATCCGCACGAACACCCTTCTTGGGTACTGGTTGTACTTTGGCAAGCTTCCAAGATTTTGGCATCGTTCGAGTGTTTTAAGAGAGAGGCGGTACAGGCGCGGCAGAACAGGAGACAACTCAGGCGTACAATGCTTTAGTACCCTTTCAAGAATACTACCAGGTCCACTGCCCTTGTTCACGTCTAGCTAAGTCTACGTACCTCTTTCATGTGGATAGTGACATTCGGCATTGTAGAATCACAGCGAGGTAAGGTTTAGAACCAGCATCTAGACGAGAAATGCTCGCAAACAGGGATGCAAATACATTTGCTTTCTCAGTCGCGGAGGGAGCTACGGCTCCATTAAGTTTCTGCATGAGGGACGGCAGAAGTTGTATTCGAAAGCCTTCGACAGTCTGTTTTCTTGACTGCGAGGTGTATAGGATAGCAGGGGAAGTTCTTGATACATCTCAAGGTCATCACAATAATGGCTCGTTAAGAGGCGAAACACGCAGTTTTACAATTTGTATGCGTTATTACCCGGTGTTAGGGTGTAGGATTGAAGTAGTGATGGGTGATGGCGTTAGCTGTGGTATTTTAAGTCACTCTATACGAGTTTGTGTACTTATAATATATTAAAAGTGAGTATACAAAACTCGTGGGATGCAGTTTAATGTTTTTGTTTTTTTTTTATGAGAGGGGTAAACGAGCACTCGGCTCACCTTGTGGCTTGAAACACTATTATATTTTTGAAGTTAAAACTCAGCAAAATATTTTTTTCTTACATGTAGACATTTACGCCTGTCACCCAAAGGGGTAGGCAGAGGCACGGACTTCCATTTGGCATGATCCTGATATGTCAGGATCGTATGTATTTTTTTCCATTTAAATATTATAGGTACCAAATCTTTTCACTACATAATGCCACGTTAAACCACGAAAAACGTGTTGCAGTTTCACTATTGGTATTGCCAGGGTTGCAGTAGTAGGGGGGATTCGTACGGCGATGGCGTTAGGTGTGGTCACTCTTAATACGAGTTTGTGCAGTTATAATTAATTTGTATTTAATTTACATTTTGCACTCCAATTACGGTAAAAAATGTTAGTTCCACATTATTTAACATTTGTGCCATGTTTTTTTATAGAATTAGGGTGTCAAACGAGCACACAGTCCACCTGATGGTAAGTGGATCCGGTGGCCCATAGACATCTACATTTAGCCTCGAATTTGTCGAATCAAAATGCAGATGCATTGGCTTCCCTGAGGACTAAGATGGAATGCCTCGATTCCAGTAAAATGGGTCTTCGGCACTTACCATCAGGTGAACTGTGTGCTCGTTTGTTAACGACATTCTATAAAAAAGACATATCATTTTTATTTATTGCTAGAATGTATGTGGTAGATAATATAATGATGTTATTAGTTATTAATGAGAACTAATATTCTATAGTGATAATGGCGTGCAATATTTTTACCTATATACTAAAATATTATTACAATTTATTTAGATAATTAAGTGATAATAAGTATATACATTCTTAAGGAATCATGATCATAAAAGTAATCACATGTAATTGTATCTATGTAATTATTTAAAAATATTTATGCGTCTAGTTTTTAATTTTTTATTTAATGCATATTGTGTTTGTACGCGAGGATAATATAGTTACTTTAAGCAATGCCGCTTACTACTGAAATCGTATACTATAACTAATTCATTTAAAAAAAAAATAACATGGAAGCTCTTGCCAATAATTAGGAACACTTCGGAAAATTTAAAAAAAAACCAGGTGATGATCTTAAGTTACTTGTCCATAATGAAGTTTTTGAGTTATAAGAAAGTGACTATATTAACCGGATGATTATATTAGCCTTACGTACGCTAGTTGTAGTAAGTTAGTTGATGACTTACCGGCGGTAGTGGTGGGGGCTCGTCGCAGCCCGGGGGAGGGGGCTCAAGCCACGCGGGCGGCGGCGGCGTGGTGCCGCGCTCACCGGGGATCGGCGCCGCGGGGGAGGGGGGCGACGCGGGAGGGGGAGGCGGCAGCGGTGCCGGTTGCGGCAACTGCGGGCTCGGAGGCTCCTCCTGTGAGGTTGCAACATTTACTTATTTAATTTTAATAAACCTGAAGTAAAAACGAACTTACAAAATGATTTCTTAAATTTACGCGAACACTACACATTGAATAAAAAACTTACAAGTTAAATAACTCTAATCTTCCGATCACTAGATGTCGCTAGTTGACACTCAAGTGAAGTTTCATCAGTTTCTAGAGCATTATATTAATACACAAAACAAAGTTTTTTTTTTTTTTCACCTTTTTTTTTTTACTTTTCAACTTTTTTGAATATTGTGTGGTTTCTGGTTCATTAATTTTTAAAAGTAGTGTGAAGACAGAAAAATTAATCTTTACATATTTAGAACAAATTAACTTCCCCGCTATAAAATCTATCAAATATTACACCTCAATATATAGTAGCTTATTGCTACTGTGTTTCGTGTGGTAATGGACCGGTCGAGCCGACCCATTCGTGTTGCAACCACAACATGGTTGCAGCATGGCTCTACCATTTTTTTTCTGTCAACCCATGGAGTGGTGAGAATTTGACGTAGGTGTGGCAATATAGAATAAGAGAACACAATACAAATGATAATTAACTACATAATATATACAAACTACTAATAAATAAACTATACATATATGATCTATCCTATACATATATAATAATAATAATATAAAGCCCGTTTTTATTTCCGATTAACGTTTTTTGACAGAGTTTAGCTTAATATAGAGTGTAATTTGTACTTAATTCATATTTATTATTTATATACATACACACAGACATGCATATATACATAAATACAAATATATATATATATATATACATATAACACACATACACATACATACACACACATACGTACATACACATATATAAATGTAAGTTTAATTTTACTTTTAGTTTATTTAATTTTTGTTTCATTCACTATCATTATTTTCTTTATTTTCTTCACCATTGATCGGAACCCCTTCTCGGGTATAGGCCTCCTCCAGCATTTTCCAGACCTTTTTATCCTTAGCTTTTTTTCTCCATTCGTTTCCTGCTGTCGCTTCTATATCGTCTATCCACCTTGCTCTGGGGCGACCTCTTTTTCTTCTTCCCTCTGGACCTTTCCATATGATTGAAAGGTCCAGAGGGAAGAAGATTGAAGATTTGAGATTGAAGATTTTAAGATGACATCTTTTGTCTGTGTACCTTGCGACATGTCCTGCCCACTGCCATTTCTGCTTTAGTGCGTGATGTAAGGCGTCTATAACTTTAGTTCTCCGTCTTATTTTTACGTTTTTTATTTTTTGTATTCTTTTTATTTTTAATACGGTTCCTTTCCATTGCTTTTTGACATGCTACTAGTTTGTTTTGTATTTTTGTGTTGTAAGTTCACGTTTGGCATCCGTATGTAAGAGTAGGTAAGACGCAGGTATCCAAGACGATTTTCTTAAGGTGGAGGGGAACCTCACCTTTTAATATTTCCTTCAGGGTCCAAAACTTTTTCCAACTCATGTTAATACGCCGCTCGACTTCTAGTTCCATATTTTTATCTTCGAATGATAGTTGTTTTCCAAGGTAAATGTAATTGTTCACGTATTCAAGCGGCTTGCCGTTTAGGTATATAGGTTTTGTTAGACTGTTTGTTAGTATTTTAGTTTTGTTCTCATTCATTTTGAGGCCTACTTTTTCGCTTTCATCGCTTAAAGTACTTATCATTTTTTCTAATCTCTTACTTGTTTCAGCGAATAAGACAATATCGTCCGCAAATCTGAGATGTGTAAGTTGATCTTGGTTAACTCTGATCCCTTCCGACTGCCAGTTGAGATTGTCAAAAATGTATTGTAGAACCATTATGAACAGTTTGGGTGAGAGAGGGTCCCCTTGTCTCACTTCTCGACAGATCGGTATGTCGGGTCCTCGTGTTTCCAGTTTGACTTGGCTTACGCTGCCCTCATAGATGTTCTTTAGTACTCTTACATAGTTTTGATTTATGTGGTATTTTTTCATTGCTTCCCAGATAGCGTTTTGAGAAATCGTGTCGAACGCTTTAGCATAATCAATAAAAGCAATGTACAGAGGTCTGTTGAACTCTTTGTATTTCTCCATTACTTGTTGCAGAACTTGTATATGGTCCGTTGTGGAGAACCCAGAACGAAACCCTGCTTGTTCTACTGGTTGATATTTATCGATCTCGGGGCTCAAGCGGCTTTGTAAGATTGACATGAACAGTTTATACACACTTGAGAGAAGACTAATCGGTCGGTAATTAGAGATGTCTTGGGGGTCTCCTTTCTTATATAGAAGTATTATATCCGATCTTTTCCATTGAATCGGTACCTGGCCTGTGTGTAGAACCTTGTTGAACAGGTGCGTGAGTGGGCTTGTAAGTAGGATACTGCCAGCCTTGATTGCCTCATTTTGTATGCCGTCAGGACCAGGACTTTTGTCTGCTCTGAGTTTCCTGATGTGCTTGGTGACTTCTTGCTCGTCTACTGGTGACAAATCGTTTAGGCATTGAAAGTCTACTTAGCACATCAGTTAGTTGGTTTTGCATATAATTGCTTGTAAAACACTGTGGCACATTCCATGATATCTTTTCTGGTTTTTGTTTCATTTGATTTTGATTTTAAGCCCTGAATCCAGTACTTATGCGTGGTCAACTTCTTATAAGCTTTTTTCGTGCTTCTGAAAGTGTTTAGGTTGTTCTCTATAACGTTGTGCCTGTAATCTTTATAGTCTTTATCTATTGCTTTAATTGTAGTTTTAAACAACGTGCTCAGTTCCTTCTTCATTTCTTTAGTTTTTTTGTTTGAAAACAGTGGAAAAAGTGGAAACAAAACTCCTGTTTTGGAGATTGTCTTTTCAGAAGTTCATTTCGTCTTGAGAGAAGAGTTTTAGTAGATTCGCTAAGTATTTTGATCGATTTGTGTTTTTTATTTTCTGGTCTGCGTGCAAGGCTGGTATTGATGATTTCTGCTAATTTATTGTAGAATGTTTGTGTGTCTCCTTCTTCTTCTGTTTCCAGTTGTTGAATGTTGATCTCTAGGTTTTCCAAGTATGACGATATATCTTCTTCCGTTATCAGTGTCTTTGGTTTCGCTTTGAATGCTGTTCTACTCCTTTTCCCTTGGTCTAGCATGTATGTAGCTCTGACTAAGCGGTGATCTGATGCGAACCCAAAGCCATGTAATACTTCAACGTTTCTAATCCTCGTGGGGTGGTTTGATAGTATAAAACCATGTATACTTCAATTTCGTTTCTTGTGTTCCCACATGGGGATACCGAGGTCCATTTGCGGTTTTTCCTTGCTTTGAAAAAGGAGTTCATTATTAACAATTTATTTTACAGTGCAAATTGAATTAGTTTCTCACCTCTTTCATTTCTGCTTCCGTATCCAAATTTTCCTAAAACAAAGTTTTCGCTGTCTTTTGTATTGGATTGACCAACTTTAGCGTTAAAATCGCCAATAAGAAGTACTTTATCACCTGCCTGGTCATAAGCTACCTGCAGAGTTCTATAAAATGTGTTGATTTCTTCATCTGTTGCCTTTTCAGTAGGTGCATATACTTGTATTATTGTAACCAGTTGGTTGTTGTAATTCATTTTTAACAGAGCCACCCGCTCTGTGAGCGCTGAAAAACTAACGATATTATTCTTATATTCTTTACTTATTAAAAAACCAACTCCATGTAATCCGAGCGTTTCACCTTTGTAACAGAAAATGTAGCTTTCATGTTCTTCTATTGCATAGCACAATCTTCTAACTTCTGCCAAACCAAGTATATCGATTTTTATTTTTTGTAGCAAGTATGTTAGTTCTATAAATCTTTTAGTTGAAGCTAGTGATCTCGCGTTCAGTGTTCCTATCTTGAGGGGTTGCTGTTGTTCTTTTATTATTTTGGTTGTTTTTTTTTTTTTTTTTTGTTAGTGTTAGGGGGGTTTTTGGGGGGGGGGGTTGGTGTGTTGTTGGGTGGTGGTGGGTGTTTGGTGGGTGGGGGGGGGGGTGGGCGGGGGGGGGGCACAGGTGTGTATATATTGTATTTGTTTTTTCAATGTAAGCTGGAGGGTTGTGGTCTTTTCCCCCCACGGGGACCAGCCGGCTTGGGGGAGGGTGTTATATTTCTGAAATTCTTTTGCGTTTTTTATTTCGTTTTGGTTTCCGATCGCCGGTATCTATTTGCTTGCTAATGCTTCCCTGTTGTTGAAATTACTATAAGCGAGTGTGATCGGCCTCTTATCCTGTCGAATGCATTTATTCTATTGTTTTTAGTCGTGCTTAGTGTTTGTTGTTTCTTTGGCTGTAACTCAGCTTGCGGTGAAGTAGAATTCTCTCGCTTTCTTTTGTCTATAGTCTTTGGGTTTTCCTTTACAATAAGTTTATCATATTTAAAGTATGCTAAGTTTCCTTTTTGCCTTTCCTCAATTAGTTTGTGTTGCAATGACTTTCTAATTTCTAAAGTTTCTTTTGAGAAATCCTCTGTTATATAAAGTTCCTTTAATTTCTTTTTGCTCCTCAGAATTTCAGCCTTCTTCCATCCGCTAACCAATGAGAATAGCGTTGGCCTAGGTTTCTCACTCTTATTTCTCGCACCGACACGGTAATTTTTATGGTATTCTATGGTAATGTCTAGTTCGTCTAAAAAACATTTTTTAATGCGCTTGATTAGGTCCAGTGTCGACTGCTCCTGTTCTGCCAATCCATGAATAATTATATTATTGCTTTTCCTGTCTCTCTCTAAAAACTCCACCTTCTTTTCCAGATTTTCTACTTTAAGTTTCAATCTTTGGTTTTCTTCTATGACGGGTTTTAATTTTTCATCCATTTTTCCAAATATGGTGTTAGTCAGTTCAATTGTTTGGTTCTGTAATTCTATCTTCATCTTTTCGAATAGAAGTTGTAATTGTTCGTCCATGCTTTGTGTGTAATGGGACGTGTTTAGTAGTATTTAATGATGTTAGCACTGAGGTGGCGTTATCTATGGTCTGTTCAAATAGTTGGTTCAGAAGGGCTAGAATCCAGAGGCGTAAAAAAATATTATCTGCTGTCAGCAATATGTCAGCTGTTGAAGTTGTAAATATCAATATGGTTCTAACCTGCGTGTTTTTCCAGATTATTTATTCCGAGTTCTCCGTGGGAATCCACCATATAACTCGATGTTTAATGTAATAATCGTTTTATCGCACTTAGTTCTTGGTTTTGATGTGGTATTAATGTTATAAACTGTGACTTCAACTATTAGTATAAATTAATTTTTCGGAGCACTGACACTTATGTTCACACTACGAATACCCTACTTACATATATACAAATATATAAATAAATGGATATACATACAATTATACATATTTAAATACATACATAATTAATATATACAAATGACTATGAATATATACGTCTGTTTGGTAATACATATTAAATAGATGAGTCATGTAAAATGCGTTGTCTTTAAGAAATGATCACGGACCAACTTTTTAAAAGCGTACTTATTGGGAGCTTTTCTGATGTCATCGGGCAAGGAGTTCCAAAGGCGTGTAGCCTGAACTGTGAAGGAGTTACCATAGAACTCGGTGAAGTGAACTGGAGTACAGATTTTGTTGTTAGAAGAAGAGCGTAGGACCCTATCATGAGATGAAGAAAGATAATGAAATTTACTCTTAAGATAAGAAGGCGAAGATGGATCATTTAATATGGAAAAAAGTACAAGTAATATTCTGGAGTTGCGCCTCTGCCGGATTGTAAGCCAATTTAGCTTAGATCTGTATTGAGAAATATGATCATACTTACGAAGCCCAAAGATAAATCTTATACATTTATTGAGGAGGCGTTCCAGCTTGTTCTGAAGATCTTGGGACAGGTCTGGGTAACACACATCTGCATAATCAATTATGGGTAATATAAGTGAATGGACAAGCATGATCTTAGATTTTGTGGGAAGAAAATGTTTTAAACGATACAGAGAGCATAACGTGGCAGTGACTTTACGACTCACATCTGAAACCTGAGTTCTCTAATTCAGCATGCTGTCGATGTAAAGGCAAAGATTTCTAACAGAATTACTGAATGGAATTGTAGTATTATCATAGTAAATAGGAGGTAAGTCTGCCAGATTAATCTTAGCCAGCATCCTTGAGCTACCCACCATTTGCCGAAACTCCATAACGAGTAGACCAATCCTTGATAGCTGCTCAGTTGCCGTTAAGGTTTTTGATCCCATTATGGATATCCCCAATCTCAGTTTGCACATAAAGCTGAAGGTCATCGGCATATAAGTGGTACGAGCAGTCGATGATGGAGGTAATGAAGTTTATAAAAATTGAAAACATTATAGGAGAAAGAATACCGCCTTGCGGCACACCAGCATCCACATCAGCCCAAGCTAAGGACAGTTGCCCCACACTGACTAACTGCTGTCGACCGCGAACATAAGATGCAAACCAATCCAATTCAGTAGGGCCAAAATTCAGATGAGACAGTATGGAAAGAAGGATTTCATGACTGTGTCGAAAGCATTTGAGAAATCAACTAGTACCAGTACTGTTATTTTTTTTCTTCCATGCCTTGTTTAATATTATCAATAAAATTAATTAATGCAGTAGTGGTACTATGACCAGGACGAAACCCAGACTGATATAGGTTATGTTTCGAAATAAAAGTAGACATTTGCTTGTAAAGACAGGATTCTAAAATTTTGGAAAGAAAGGGTAGAATGGATATTGGACGAAAATGATTGGGATGAATGGGAGTAGGAACTTTTGGGAGAGGCTTTACAAAAGCCCTCTTCCAAAGATTAGGATACTGACCTGAACCAAGGGAAAAATTGATTATATGGGAAATTGCCGGGAGAAGGTGCTCTAGTATAAATACTACCATATGTCTACTAATCTCGCTGTAACCTACAGCTTTGGACTGGATTGCTAAAATCGACTTTTTTGACATCATCCTGAGAAACAGGAGAAAAAATAAAGGTAGGAATGTTAGAAAAACTTACCTTACTTTGAAATGAATGAATGAATAAAATATACTTTATTGTACACCAGAAATAAATATGAGTAAAAAAAAACATTAACTATTTAAAGGTACAATTGGCGGCCTTATGGTTTAGAAGCTCTCCCAGAATCTCTACCAGGCAACCGTTGCAGAGGATAAAGTGACCTGTCAAATAGGGTAAGGGTGTACGTAGGTTGTTGGAAAATACACACAACATAAATATTATTATATAATCAACAAATACTTACATAATATAATAAATAAATACATTTTAATGAATAAAATACTCACTGGCAACGAGGAGCTCACGTCTGGCATGCCAAGCGTGACGGTTAAAGTAAAACCAATAAAGATTTACGGACCAATAAAGAAGAATATATTATGTTGAATTATATGATAATTTGGGTAGTAGGCACGTTTCCAACGAGCAGAAGTACCTTAGGTTCGATGCCGGGGTGAGGTGGTGTGGTGGAGATATCCATGTCGGTGTCATCTGTTGCCGGATACTCCCACTGCTCCAGCCCGTCAGCCTCCCGCCGGTACCGGTAGCGCCCCTCCGACCTGTGCACGCCATACGTACAAGCACCACTAGTGGGGGGCGGCCCACGCCCCCTAGATTTACATGGAGGGGGCTGTCCCAAACAAGTCTCATTACACGTGTAGAGTTTCACAAACACCAGTCGAAAATATGGAATTATAATTTTATGAAGGACTTTTAATTGGTTGTCTGGAAGTAATCGCTTTTATTTACACTTTTTTAAACTGTTTTTTTTTTTTAAGTGAAAACTTCTTTATAATCTTTGTGATTTGAAACTCGAAGAAATGAAAAAGCGACAAACACATACATCTATATGATTTTGTCTGCGAGATAATGTATACAGTCTCCTTTTTCCTATTTTTTTTATACTATTATACTTGGTTTCAATAAATTAGTAATAAATTTTTATTAATAAAAATAAGCAAAGTTTTCATAGACATAAAATAAACATGTATTCTCGATTAGAAATCAAAATAAAGCAGATCCGTTGTCAGCCCTGGGTATTAAGATGGAATGCCTCATTTACAGTAAAAAGGGTCTCCGTTTCTCTACACTCACCGTACGAAACATAGCAGTATTAAGCTGCTATTTTACGCTGGTATTCTGTGAAAACTATGGAATTAAAATTTTACAAATATTTTTTATTTATTATTTGGAAGAAAACGCTTTTAGAGCTATATAGCTGTCTATTGTGTCTTGACCAAAATAATTTACTGGTTAGAATAATTTTTTATTCAATATAGATTACAAATAATTTTTATTGAGTAATTAATTATTTACTTTTCAGTTCGGAAAAAAATCTCTGTCCTGGGAAGAATCAACTAGAAAGCAACTTGAAACAACAAGAAACTCAGCAGGATTTTTTTCAAAGAAAATTATACAATAAGAAAGTTTGTAGAAACTGTTTACATAATTTATTTAAGAAACAGCTTGGAAATGGTCGCCTCATTCGTGATATAACCCCTCATTCCCAGGGGTTATATCAACCATGTTATTATAATAATTATCGAAGAAATTAAATTCTCTCTAAAGAATTTGCCATAGGATTAGTAAATAGTAAGATCAATAGCTAAGCGAAGCCGAAACCTTTTCGAGATAAACCCTCTGCGTCCAACACATTCAAGCAATTTGCTAAATTATAGTGGCAAATTCTGAATAACAAGTCATTAAGATGTTATTTTTTTTTAGTTTATTATTTTTTTTTTTGTTTATTATTTATATATAAATATACCTGTCAGTGCTTATAGAATGTAAAAATATAGATTTTAATACAATTTACGAAATTTTTTAAAGGAAACTAAATCATTTATTACTCCTCGAAGTCAATAGTACTTTTTAAATTATCACTTGTTTGGGAAAACCACAACTATGTAAAAATACGGGGCTCTCTTATAGATCTAAACATTCATAAATTACGAATATACAAACTGGACTCTGGAATTTTTTGAAACTTAAAACCAAATTTTTATACTCGTAAAGCCCAATTCGTATATTCTTAGATAAAATTGAGTGTATACTAAACCCATAATAATCTGTTGATTTGTGTCTGCGCTTTGCCTAACATTTTTATTGATGTTTACCAATAAAATATTACTTAAAATCTTGACACTTCTTAATTTTAAAGTTTGAAATAATTCAAACTTTTTATATAATAGCAACACTGTGTTTTCGAACTATTTACGAGCAGACACAAACGAACTCCGCTTGTCGCTGTCTCCGCAAGAAGATTTCCTTGGCGACATTCTGGAAAAGATCAAAGTGTAATTTCTCGAAAATAAATAAATAACAAATAAAATCTGTCTCTCACCATACTCCTCGGCGCGAAGTCTTCGGCTCTTGGGTAATTCTTCAAGTGGTCCAGTGTTGCCATGTTGTTTTCTTTGTCTTTCTTACACTAGATTTTACAAAGACATGGATAGGATGGTAACACAGAAGGAAACTCGAACTATAGTTATTAATATTTATTATCAGGTACATTTGGAAAATATATCACAGATTTCACCAAATCCATAAACGAATTAAAACGTCTATGAATCATATGGCAGTGTATATTTTTAACACATCTAACTTGTATTTTCAACTAAAGCTACAGATAAATTACTTCACAGATATTAAGGTCAGTAAGTTTTAAATTTGCTTCTAACTGATATATAAAACGGTATCATGTTTCTTAAGAAAAAAACATTACATTTATGTCTGTATAAGTGTATATACAATAGTGATAAGAAACTCTATATATAAAAAAATATCTTTAGATCAAAAACACACCATTGACAAAATAGCAAAAATTATTGCATAAAAAATAAGACTTTGCAATAGTCAAAAACGACATTTTTAAATATTATGTTGGTTGATGAAATAAAAGCCCTTTTTAATTCAGAATGAAAAATAGTACATAAATTATAAGTTTTGAGTTACACCAACCAACACACATTAATTTTATATCAGTAACAAAATCAGTATAATATATATTTATTTAACTGTGATTAATACTAATTACCAAGGTGTCCACTAGAGAAAGAATGTTTGGCACAAACTGATAAAATTAGTTTCATGTTAAAAAAACAGTGCATACATATTTTAATTAATAACCAGTAGTTTTTGATAGAATCAACCTGAATCTTAAACAAGTTGAGAGTGCACAGAAACTTGATTTAAAAATTCTCTCAGATTGTTTTGATTCTAGAAAGTAGACACCCTGATTACACCAAAAACTTGTAAATGAGTTTTCATATTACTTGTTAACTGGAGAATTATTTACATTATAATAATTTTGTGTAAGAAAACTTCGCACACCGTACCATAAGTACATAAATACTTGTTTTTATTTTGCAGAAATTAATTTGATGTGTATTTTGCATGCAAAAAGAAATACGGTATATTATCTAGTTAGCCGTGGAAGTCTATCACGATGACGCCTTGTTTTGGGGTGAAACGCGTATCGTGTTAGATGTTCAATATGATCATCCTGGAAGTTAGGTTTGCACTACTCAAACTTAAAACCTTAAATTTTTTTCATATTTGAAATTATCTATATAAAATTTGGAAATTAATCTGCTAAGATGAATTGTTTCTTGTGTGAAAAATGCAAAAATATATGGTTTAAGCATAGACTTATAATACTATTGCGTAGGTTAAATTGTTTAGTTATTTGAGGAGGTAACAATCAAAACGTGATTTGTCATCAAAAAAAAGAAAAAAGAAAAAAGTTGATAATACCATTTTCCTCTACTCTATGGGCTCCATATTTTTTAAAAGAACAGTTTGCATCAAAACATGTTTTCTCTAAATATTTTTAATGAGTAAAATAGGCAGTAAAAACAAAACGCGTTCTGTCCTTCAGCAGGCTAACATAATAAAATGTTTTGTCCGAACAACGAATCACAAATAAGTGGACGCCATTTTGACATTTGACTTAACACAGTTTGAATGAATTCGAATGAACCACTTGTTGTCATTCATTACCTATGTGAGGTTATTTTACTGTGTCGTATTTTTCGATTTTTGAATAAAATAAAATAATATTGTGACGCTAATTTTTAATGCAATATAAAATGGACGATATCGTAGACGAAACGGATACTATAGAAGTACAAGCGCGGAATAGTGGTAGCCGTAAAGGACGTATCACTGGTGGAAAAAGAATTGCTGCCAAAAAGATGAAGTATTCAAAACTTTATAATTCTAATGTTATTCACCCTTGTGCACACGACACGAAAATCTTTCGTTGCTCAAAAGTTACACCAAAGCACGTTATACATATGCGAACAAAGTTATGTTCGGTTCCGGAAAAACTTGCTCAAGATGGGATCATTTCATCTTTAACCCCTTCAGACCCAGCGTCCATTTTAATGGACACGTTTTAGTATTGCATGAAATATGAAGTAGATTAATAAAAACGCTAGTGTAAACATTTGATTGTACCGACCACTTACCTAGAAACGTTACGATAAACAAAACACCAAAGGATTTATTGCAGGTAGGATGAAATAATTAGTCAAGTGTTGACGTTCGCCATGGATACGCGCAATGCGAGTAAGTCTTTAGTGTTATTTTATTTACTCCAAAACGATTTGATCGATTGTTTAGATATTTTTTATTCTGCATAGTGATCATATTAGCTAAGATATACATTTTAAAAAATACTAAATATGCGGTTGTTTTCATAATTTTGAAGATAAAGTCGATGTCCATTTCAATGGACATGGGGTCACAATCGTTGTAAACCAAACGTATTTACAATAAAACTTTGTATTGAATTTTACATGTTATTTTTATTCCTTTTTAGGTTTTGATCTATCTAAAAGTCAAGATGTGGATAATTTACTCAATTTATTAGAAAACGGAACAATATCGGATCTCGAAGAAGAGAGTGACGATGAAATTGTACAGGCAATACCACAAAAAAATGTTCGTGTAGGTAGTAACATAACGCTATCAACCGAAAGAGAGATAGGTAATCACTCTGAAGAGGAGGACGATATAGTAGAGGAAGAAGACTTAGAGGAGGTAGAATCTAGACCCGGATCAAGTAGTAAGCCTAAAAATGAAATAATTTGGAGAAAACATTTACAGCTTGAACCACCACAATTCATTTGGTCAGCGCCACCACCATCTGAAATTGATTCACCTCGCGTTCCCATTGATTATTTTTCTAAATATATATCAGAGTCTCTAATTGAAGATTTTACATTCAATACAAATTTGTATGTGGTGAGAAATGAAGTCGCGTAATTTCAAGGCATGTACTTCAACAGAAATGAAAATATTTTTCGGCCTTCATATCATAATGGGTAACCTAAAGTTTCCTCGTATTCGTTTGTATTGGGATTCCAGTTTAGATATGAAAATATTTTTAGAGAACATGGCCAGAGATAGATTTCTTCGGATGAGAAACAATTTGCATGTAATTGATAACAATTCTATTCCACAAAATAACACCGATCGTTTTATCAAAGTTCGACCTTTATAGGATTCAGTTAGAAAACGATGTCTAGAACTAAAATTAGAGCAAATATTGAGCGTTGATGAACAGATTATACCTTATCGAGGAAAACTTGAAGTCAAACAATATGTCAAAGGAAAACGACAGCCATGGGGTGTAAAGATATTTATGATTTGCGTTAAGAGTGGATTAGTTTATGATTTTATTATTTATCAAGGCGCAACTACAAATCTAGACAAAAATGACGTTTTGAAATATGGCATATCTGCTGCTTATGTAAATGCCTTGTCAAAGAGAATAAATAGGTCTGGTCATTACCTCTTCTTTGATAATTATTTCTCCAATTACGTTTTGCTGAAGGATCTTCGCGAGAGGGAAATTTATGCAGGAGGAACGATCAGAATAAATAATTTTGGAAAACCGCCACTCATAACTGACAAGGAAGGATCAAAAAAAGATAGGGGATATAATGATCAAGTTACGAATAATACTAAAGATGTGGTTGTTATCAAGTAGATTGACAACAAAGGTGTAGTACTTGCTTCAAATTTTGTTGGAATAGGAAATCAAGATGCAGTTCGACGATGGAATAAAATATCTAAAAATTACGTAACTATACCGCATCCTGAACTTTTTTTTATATATTTATTATTAGCAATTATATAACAATGGTATGGGCGGTGTAGATAAAACTGATCATCTGATTAGTTTGTATCGAATCTTCATTACTTACTTACTTACTTACTTATCTTCACGCACAATCCCTAACGGGGTAGTCAGAGAGAACAGATCGCCAAGTGTCACGATCCTTACAGTACGCGCGCGAGTTCATGTCCATCGGGGACAGAGGCGGCGCGCGGGGGCAGCTCGCCCCGCTTTTCAACCACCTCGCCGCATTTGTCTGCAGTCGAGTGTTGTCCTTGACGGTTGTGACGCGCGCTTATCGATACAGAAAATTAGTCGAGATTGTGTTATTTTATCGTGAATAAACCATGACTACTTCGCTTCCAGCAAGTTCGGGTAGGAAAAAACCTTTTATAATACATAAGCAAGCACGTGAAATGGCGAGAAATGTCCTACAGATGTGTGTTGAAGAGAAAAAAGAGAATAAATTCGCTTTTCCCGTTAACAATGCTTTAGATCGAGCGGCCCGTTACACTGGACTTACTAAAAGAACATTGTCTAGAATTCAAACAGAAGCAAAAAATGGACCTCTTCATTCGCCTTCTAAAAAAGGGAAATCGTGTAATAAAATGGGGAATTTAAATGTAGATGATTTCGATAGAAGTGTAATACACAGATGTATAGAAGAATTTTATTTGACAAAAAATATCGTTCCCACTTGTCCTAAACTTCTGGCGGCAATCCGGGAAAAAATAAATTTTCCCTGGGGGACTACAAGTTTACGAAAACTTCTAAAGAAAATGGGCTATAAATGGCAAAAATGTCACAACAAGCGAAGGATTTTGGTAGAAAGACCAGCTGTTGTATTTGCGCGGTCAAATTATTTGCAAAAAATTCGTCAATACAGAGAAAACAATCGCGATATTTTCTTTTTAGACGAAACTTGGATCGACAATAACCTCACATTTAAAAAGTGTTGGAGAAACGATTATATAGACGCGATACTGACTGACACCAGCTCAACGAACAGGCTGATTCTCGTTCACGCCGGATCCAGACGTGGTTTTTTGGATAGCGCAAAATTGCTTTTCAAAGCTGGTACTGCTACAGGCGATTACCACGGGAAAATGAACAGTACGAACTTTGAGAAATGGGCGACTGACATGTTCATTCCCAATTTGCCACCATCCAGCGTTGTCGTTATGGACAACGCACCATATCACAGTGTTCAGGAAAATAAAGTTCCTACAAAATCAAGCACTAAAACGGTTATGTTAGAATGGCTTATTAGAAACAATGTAGAGGCTTCACTAAGCATGAGAAAAAGGCGAGCTTTTTGATTTGATAAAATTGCATGCGCCCCAAGAGAAAAGTTTTAAAATAGACCAGCTCATCCGTAGTCACGGACATGAGGTATTAAGATTGCCACCGTACATGTGCGACTTAAACCCAATTGAGTTAGCATGGGCAAAAGTCAAGAGAGTTGTGAGGGAGTACAACGTTAACTCAGATTTATCCCTAACAAGATTGAAAGAAGTAACGGAGATGGCTATAAACCAGGTGACAGAAAAAGATTGGTGTGGATTCGATGATCACGTTATAATTTTGGAAGAGCATTACTGGCAAAAAGACGGACTAATGGAAAATACGATCGACAAATTCGTAATTGAAGTCAGCGACGGCGAAGATACTGATTCCGACTCTGCTCTGTCGGTTGTTTTTGCATCTGATAGTGATTAAATTGCATTTTAAAAAATATTTTTCTCTATTAGCAATAAACAAGTAAGTACTTATCACATTTATTTTATTTCATAATTTGCAAAATCACCTTAAGTTACAATAAACCAAATTGACAGCTGTTGACTAAATCGGTAGTAATTATCGACCATTACCATAATTGATTAGGTCACAGCACTACCGCATTCCTCAGGATGTACATGAACTCGCGCGCCTACTGTACATACCTCTTTCGTCAAATATCGTAAAATCATTTTTTGGATCTAATGAAGTACAATCTTCATTAGATCCAAAAAATGGACATTGCGTATGATATTTCACGCCATTGACCTAGCACTAACCAATAGCTGGCTGGAATACCAAGATTGCAAAATCTGCAATATACCAAGTACAGACGTTTTGGATTTGTTGCACTTTCGCCAGCGCGTTGCAGAGCTCTAATAAAAATGGGGCATCCAATTCCTAGCAGAAAAAGAGGACGGCCCGCATCTGGTGGTAGCAGTCCAGTAAATTCACCAGTTACACCAAAACAACACCGTTTCAGGACTGAAATAAGACCAGCGAGCGAAATCCAGTATGACACTGTCGACCATTTGCCAGAATATGATCAGAAGAAAGAAGCTACAAGATGTAAAAATCCAGGATGTAAAGGAAAGACGCATGTTTACTGTCTGAAATGTGAAATACATCTGTGTTTTACTGGTGAGCGAAATTGCTTTCGAAAATTTCATCAAAAACAAGAATAATCCTAACAGTGTAAAATGTTAAATAAAAAATAAACTATTATAATAATATTACATAGTTTTACTGACATACTTCAAAACATTACTACAAAACATTTATTCATTAAATATGTATTAATACAACACTCTAAACCTGTGTCCACTTGAGTGGACATCAAAATTTCCAAAAATCTGAAAACGATAAATCGCATATTTTTACAAAAAATCCCTTAATTACACTTCTAACTCACAGAAAAACCTCAACAATATTTTTATTGATGCTTTATATAAATTCAGGTCCGAAGGGGTTAATTCAGACTTACCAAGTGAAGCGAAGGACACCTAGAGTAAAACCTAACAAGAAGGTTGTGTCAGAACATCTATTCAATGTGAAATACTTCTTAACAGTTGATTCTCCGAGGGTTCCAGTTTGCAAGAAGTTTTTTCTTGAAGTAACTAAGATGGGGCGTACTAGGCTTCAAAACATAGCAAAAAAGCAGTTTCAGGGTGAAAGAATTAAAGAAAATAGAGGAGGTGACCGAAAAAGTCATTTACATTAGAAGAAAGACAATGTAAGAAAATTCATTGGAAAACTTCAAGGAAGTGAAAGTCATTATGGAAGAAATAAGTCTAAACGAATCTATTTGATGGCAGGCTTGAGTATTAAAAAATTACATAAAATATACAATGCGAATACCACTGATGAACTGAAAGTGAAACTTTCAATGTTTAGACGAATCTTTGTTAGTGAATTTAATATTGGTTTTAAATCACCAGCTACCGATGTGTGCAGTTATTGCACAATTCTAAATCACAAAATAAAAACATATCCATCAGGATCAAAGGAGAGGAATGATGTCATTATAGAAAAAAGAATTCATAAGAAGAGAGCGAATGCATTTTATCAGCTAATGAGGCAGGATGTAGAAGATTCGATAAGCTACTGTTTTGATTTACAACAAATCCAACCGTTGCCAAAAGCACCGGTACAGGAGGCATACTATTTGAGACAAATTGGATTTTACAACTTTTGTATAGTCGATTTAAAAGGACTGAAACCACAGTTTTACTGCTGGTCGAAGAACAAGCCGATAAAGGAAGTACAGAAATATCATCTGCTTTGTTACATTTCCTTCTGAATACTGATTTCCAATCACACACCATTTTAAGACTGTTTAGTGATGGATGTATCTCTCAAAATAAAAATAATATTGTAATACGTACTATTATGTACTATTTGCAAACTACAAGAACATCTCTTAAGGAAATTCATATGCATTTTCCAACTCGAGGCCATTCCTTTTTGCCTGCCGATAGAGTTTTTGGCAGGGCTGAAAAACTGTTGCGAAACAAGCCCACTATTATCGCAAAAGAAGAATATATAGAAATTTTTAAAGAACTGGGACAGTTGTATTCATTAGGACAAGACTGGGAACTCAAAGATACCAAGGACTTAAAGAAGTTCTACAAAGATCTAAAAACCATAAGCAATATGAAAAGGATTTTCTTCAAAGTCAGCGAGGTTAATGGTAAACGGTCAGTCAGAGTTCGAGCGATGGAAAACTTTATTTATGAAGGAAATGAAACATACGAAAATTTAAACAAGAAATCATTCACCATTAACATGTTAAACAGAATGCAACCAAAAACACTGCCTTTAAGCAGATCTTTATCTAATGAAAAAAAAGATGGATGTAGACAAATTACTACAGTCTGTTTTTGGCAACTGGCAAGAGATTGACGACATCCGTTTCAACTGGTATAAAGAAGTTCTTTTCAATACTCCAACCACTATTCAGGAAACAATTGATGATAATGAAAATGAGTGTGATTGTCTGGATAATAAGATTTGTATGAGAATTTAAGTATTACTGATTGTATTGGTAAAATAAGTCAATAAAAGTTTTACTAATTAATATTGCTAAAATAAACATGTTTTCTAAAATACTGTTTTTTTTTAATCAAAACAGATCCACAACATACACTAATCTAAGACTCAAAAGATTGTAGTTAGAAATGGACAAAACACGTTTCGACTGCGAGATTGAAACATGTTTTCAAGTCAAAACATGTTTTGTCCATGTGGTTCATGCATAACGTGTTTTGTCCATTTTTCAAAAATTAAAATAAAGAGATAGACTTGACTTATCCATTAAAATATAATAATATTATTCAGTAGTAATAATTTTTTTTGACTTTTATATGAATCTTAAACTTACACTCAATTCGCTAAAATCAAAAATGTTTATTTTTCTTTGTTCCATATCCAAGTGACATATCACATTTTGATTGTTACCTGCTCATTTATAAAGATCCATCACGGTAAAGCCTTATTTTGGGCGAAACACGTATGGTGTTAGAATTAGTGGCGTTAAATGTATTGGGTGGTTGTGAAAGGCTGGTTTGCAATATTGAAATCTTAAGATATTATTACCTTTTATATTTTTACAATTATCTATTTTTGCATTACATGAATTTTATATATATTACATTTTCAATAAATAGTTCTGCTTGAACTAGTCATGGCAATCCAAAAACTAACGTCGTACCTGTTCATTTTGTAAGATAAGAGTAGTTAATGCGTGACACACTAATTAATAGACGTATGTTAGTCAGATATGTTATAGGTATCTGACTAAGATACGTCGAGTATGTACTAGGCAGGGTGTATTATGTTGAAGCTACATATATTGCGTCGAAATGAGATGTGGTGGTGTGTAATGAATTGAGGTGAGGTGTAGGGAAATGATGTGTGATTTGTCGAGGCAGTGTGTTATGAGGTAGCGAGTATAATGAGTTGAGGCGGTGTAATGTAAGGCGGTGAATATTGTGTCCACGTAGGGAGTGTCGTTTGGAAGTGGAGTGACAGGTGTGGTGTTAAGTGAAGTGTGTTTTGTCGAAGCTGCGTGGAGTGAGATGTGAGGCAACGACTGAATTGTTGTATCGAGCTTATGTATAGTGTATGTAGGCGGCATGTGTGCTCGTGTGCATGAGTGTGCCCTAGGAAGGCAACGTGTAATGTATCGAGTGTAGTGTGGTTGGTACAGCATACAAAACAGCACGCGGTGTGGTACGGCGCGCGAAGCGGCGGGTGTGTGCGTGTGTGTATGTTCTTGTGTGCGCGCGGGTACCTCATGAAGGCGCAGGTCCAGCCGGGCGGCGCGGCGGCCGCCTCGTGGCGCGCCAGCGCGGTGCCGGCGCTCCGGCTCCACGCGGACAAGTACCCGGCGCGCAGCGCGCCCGACCTCAGCGCGGATATCAACGTCTGCGCACGTAAAGAAAAGCTACGTGTCAGACACATCATGCAGCTTAATTACCGTTCTTTTATAGCATTGGCTGACAAACGAGCACACAGTCCACCTGATGCTAAGTGGTTGCTGTGACCCATAGACATCCACATTTATCCTCAGTTAAAAATCAAACTGCAGATGCGATGTCACCTCTGAGAACTAAGATGAAATGTCTCGTTTATAGTAAAAAGAGTTTCCGGTTCTCAACACTCACTATATGATACACAGCAGTATTACGGTACTATTATGCGAGATCGTGATTCTGCTCCAATCGCGCCGACCCATTGGTGCTACAACTATAATATAACTGCAGCGTGGCTCTACCACATTAAAAGTAACGGTTGTAACTAGAATGGCTTCTTCATTTATGCTGCAACCATAATGTCGAATCCAGGTGGCTCGTGGATGGAGAAATTTTATAGCGATCGCCTAGCCTCTAAGGCATGACTCAACCGACTTCTGTCCATGCACACAGTCGTAAGCGCTTCAGTAGGGTTTTCTATCCGGGTATAACCGGGTAATACTAGTTTTTACGGAATTTATCGCGTATATTTAAATACCCGACGTTTCGAGAGCTTTACAGCACCCATGGTCACAGGAAGGACTGAGATGTTTAACGTCCAGATGTCATAGTTAACCGCGGTTACCATAGATTAAAATTTAACTTTTGTTCCGATCTACACAGTATGAATTTATGGTATCATGAAGTCTTGCAGTTGTATGCTTGGGTGGGGAGTTTATTTTATTTATTATAGGATCCCAAGCAGATGGTAGCACCCAGCCATCTTCTCTATTGAAATCAGGCGAGTAAAAAGTTGTTACGGACGGTAATCCAACAAAAACGCTCCGATCTATATGACATAAATAAATCCATAGACACATCATCCAGTGAATTAAAGAAAGTTTTAACGACGTTTGATTATAATTTTTGCATGGAAACATTAAACGCGAAATTAGTTAATATAACGAATGCAAAAACAAACATACAGAAAAATTTCAAAAATTAACGACCAAATCAAATGTCATCAGACAAACACAGATCATAGATTAATCGCGTTCTATAATCTGTCAAAACAAACACTGGATGATGCAACAATTAAGGTTTTATCCAAAGGCCTTAATTATGCTATAACTCCACGCAGATTACCGTACGAAGAAATTATCTGTAGTGTCGAGGACTGTTTATTTAAAAACAATATGCGGAAAGAAGATTTGGAGGCGATACGTCAAGACATTTCGTCTACGTTACGTCGATGCACAGTGCCTAAACCGAATTTTCCCAAAGACGAATTTATAGCGTTAAAGAACCTACGCAATAAACCAGAACTTACGATTCTCCGCGCAGATAAGGGAAACGCCACGGTAGTCATGGATACGTTAGATTATAATTCTAAAACACAAAAACTTTTGTCGAATGTAAGTACTTATAAATACCATTTTGTATATTCCTATAGTACCATATTTGTTTATTCCTATAGTACCATTTTGTAAGCGAGATTAAAGACCTACGTCTGGCAGACAATGAAACTATGGTCAGTTTTGATGTGCAGTCATTGTTTACATGCTTACCTGTTGAAGACTGCATCTCAATTGTAACTAGAAGGCTGGAAGAAAACAACATGCCCGTAGAATATGCAGTATTTCTCAGACACTGCCTTACATCTGGCTACCTATTGTGGAAGGAGGAGTTCTACAAGCAAGTAGATGGTGTGGTGATGGGCTCACCTGTATCTCCCATTATCGCCGACATATTCATGGAAGAATTTGAGGAGAAAGCCCTGCTTACTTCTCCCATGAATCCAAGATTCTACAAGCGGTACGTAGACGACACTTTCGCAATTCTACCTTTAGATAAAGTAACTGCATTTTTGGACCATCTTAACTCTATAAATTCTAAAATTCAGTTCACAATGGAGTTAGAGGCAAACAATTCCTTAGCTTTTCTAGATGTGTTAGTAATTCGGAATCCTGATAACACCTTGAGCCATACTGTGTATAGAAAAAAAGACCCATACAGATAGATAGATATTTAAACGGTGATTCTCACCACCATCCTTCACAGTTAGCTACCGTGGGTAAATCTTTGTTTCAGAGAGCACGAGGGATCTGTGACAGTAAACACCTGGCTGCCGAGCTCCAACACGTCAAGCAAGTTTTGCTTGACAACAAGCTTTGGGTCCCGCGCCTACGTCACAGAGAACGAGTGAAGCCGGCCACAGTCGAGCGTGTACCTGCTGTACTGCCATATGTTAGAGGAGTCACTGACAAGATTGGCTACATCTTGAAGCGCGCTTCCATCAAAACATACTTCAAGCCGCCGAAAAAGATTGGTCAGTTTTTACCATCAGTCAAGTGTAACGTTCCTCTGCAAGATGCAGGAGTGTACAAGCTTGATTGTGAATGTGGTCTCTCCTACAAAGGACAAACTAAAAGATCAATTAAAACCCGCGTTAAAGAACATATAGCTCATGTGAAGATTCGACACTCCGGGAAGTCTGCAGTCTGTGAACACGTACAGGATCGCCCCCATCACTACATCAGATTTGATAGACCACAAATGCTCGCTAAAGAACACCGATTCCTTCCAAGGATGATTCGCGAGGCTATTGAAATCAAAAAACATCCTAATTTCAATAGAGAAGATGGCTGGGTGCTACCATCTGCTTGGGATCCTATAATAAATAAAATTAAATCCCAACCCAAGCATACAACTGCAAGACTTCATGATACCATAAGTTCATACTGTGTAGATCGGAACAAAAGTTAAATTTTAGTCTATGGTAACTGCGGTTAACTATGACATCTGGACGTTGAACATTTCAGTCCTTCCCGTGACCATGGGTGCTGTAAAGCTCTCGAAACGTCGGGTATTTAAAAAGTTAAATATACGCGATAAATTCCGTAAAAACTAGTATTATTTCAATGTGTAGTGTTCGCGTAAATATAAGGAATCATTTTGAATTTTTTAGTACCAGGGTACTATTTCATTGTCAGACCCGGTTACCCGGGTACCTACATTGATCGAAGAATTCATCAAAATTCTCGGAAAATTATTACTAAGTAGCGGCTTAAAAACAATATTAAAAAATGTGTAAATTTGCACTACAAATAATAAAAATATCTCTATAGAAGGCGACGCCTTTAAGGCGTTGAGTTTTTTACAGAAATGCAGTAAATTTGAGGTTAGGTTTGGTTATATCGCCGTATTCTGATTTTATTTCGTTGGAGTTTGCTTAAAAAGTTTTATTCCTACTATTTTCATAGGAGTGTAGAAAATATTAGGTTGGCAATTCTATTACTGTTCGGTGAACGGTGAGTAATTGCGTTAAATATTACTAATATAAAATTAAAAATTGTTTCTAGTGGATAACCCATAAAATTTTACTAAATGAGGTTTATTTTTCATAGACAAATTAGATAGACCTGTTTCTGAAGTACGGTAATTTAAAAAAAATACAGAATGAGGAATCCGTATAATGTTTAATATGTCCAAAAATATTATCCAATAAAGGCTCTTCAACAAGTGTTATGATAAAACTTTTAGATAAAGTACATAAAATACAGATCGAAAAATAGAACTTTACACGCGAAAAAGAACTGATATCGACATCGTCTTCTCAATCTCAATCTGAACAAAGTTCAAGCCTAGTTCCAAAGAGACCGCGAATTACAACTTTTTTTCGAATTTAAACTTAAATTACTGAAATTGCTTCACGCTTGGTAGCACAAAATGGTATTTCCATTCGGGCCGTCACTCGTAGTAAATTCATCCAAGAAGCTTTTTATCATAAACAGCTAACTCTACCAAAAAACGAAGGCAGGGCAATGGAACTAGTTCTACAGTATGTAGAATAACAAGAAATAAGTATGGTTAACACGTTGCAAACGATAAAAAACTCTGATCGTAGATTCAGTCTAACTCTTGGTGAATGAATAAGCTTACAAAACCGGCGTTACTTGAACATAAAATTGCATTCTGATGACAGAACAGTATTCAACCTAGGGCTGGTTATTATTAATACCTGCGAATTGCGGCGCAGTTAAGGTGAGAGATATGGTTCATAAACATCTCAACAAATTCGGTTAGAAATGTGAACGTCACATTCTGGCTTGTACTTACGAATGGCGCAGCGGTTATGCAAAAGTATGATGGAGAAAGCCCAACAGAGATGATGCTCTGCATTAATCACGCTGCGCACTTAGCTGTGATAGATGTCATATACAAAAGGAAAACTATTACACAAGAAAACATGGTTATTATAAGACAATTGTCTCTTTTTCTGCAAAAATTGCTAACACCCGGGTAGCCGAGTATACCCGGTATATGTAATAATGATACCCGATACCCGGGTATTAAAAAAGTCGGATACTTGAAAACCCTACGCTTCAAGCAAAAAAAAAATTCATTCATATGCTTGAGTTTAAAGAACTTTATTTTCAAAAAAGACAAACAATGCCACTTACATGAAAATAACAATTACATTTTAGTATACTTATTCTAATGGTCACCGAACACTCAGTCAGTAACATCATAGCCTCAATTTAATGGTGAAAAATGTTCAATTACGTATTGTGATAGCTGAGACTAAACTACTAAATGAGCTTACATTTTTTATATTACAAGGCAATTTATAATAAATCTGTGCTCCTTCAAAGGTAATGCTTTTTTTTTGCGTAGTTTGATCGTACCTTTGGTAGTACAAGTAAGCTAGGTCGACGAAGGCTACATTTACAAATTTGTGATTTTTTTACATAAGACAAGTTAGTATGGATGGTTTTATCTAGTATTTTCCTAATTATAATGCAAGTATTATATGTATGTAGTTGTTGAACGTTCATAAGTTTTGTTTCTTTGAAAATTTTAGAAGTTAAATAGCGATAGTGAAAAAGTATTTTTATAATTTTATTTTGTATTTGAAGTTTCTGTAACTTAGTTTTAGCAGCATTGCCCCAAATTTCTATGAGATAAAGTAAATGTGATTTAACTAATGAGTTATAAATAGTGTAACGCATTTTTTAGGTAGACAATGGGAAATATTATGAAGTGATCCAGTAAGTGCTGAAAGTTTACTTTTAATGTGATCTATTTGCCTATTCCATGTTAAGTAATTGTCCATTCTCGAGCCTAGGTATTTTTCGCAGGTTATTTGTTCTAAGCGGATGTTATCGATTGTCAGTGGGTCATGTAATGGTATAGTTTTGCTCTTTGCTTTAATAATTATGTAACATGTTTTAGAAGTGTTTACCGTTACCAAGTTATATCGGAACTACTCAGACAATTGTTCTAGATCTTCTTGCGCTTGCAAGATAATATCATGTATTTTAGATCCGAAATTAAATATACATGTATCGTCAGCGTACAAAGTTAGATAACCATGTAACCCTAGCTCTGCGATTTGGTTAATATAGACTAGAAATAGGAGTGGTCCAAGTATAGATCCCTGCGTCACACCATGCGTGATAGGTAAGGAACTACTTTGAAAATTATCCAGCTTCAATACTTGCGATCTATTTGATAGGTATGATTTAAATATTTTAAGAGCACTACCTTTGATTCTAATGCTTTCAAGTTTTTCTAATAGCAATTTGTGACTCATTGTATCAAAAGCTTTTTTAAATCGATAAAAACACCTAAAACTACTTGCCGTTTATCTATCGTATATCGTAATCGATAAAATATATCGATGAACGATTGAGAAAGAAAAGGCGTATCGTAAATAAGCTGTAAAACAAAGGAAATAAAGGGATAATGAAGGCGAGGTAAGCTTCCTGTATTTAAATTTTAATTAAAATAAAAGAAGCAAGACATTTTTATAGACTTTATACAATTATAGTTATGATAAACGTCAAATGTTTTGTTAAGTTTAAATTATTTTAATAGGTTTACTGACTTATTATGTATCATCAGGTTACTGTTATATGTATAAGTATTTTTAAGTGTTATTGTATTGTACAAATAACATCATCATTCATTCGGTCATATCGTCAAATATCGATATATTTTTCGACATGGTCAAGCAATAGTCGATGTCAAATTGACTCACTCCACAATTTTAGTCACTGTTCTGAATGGTATAATCCAGCCATTTTGTGATGGTTGTCAGATGTCAACAATACATAGAAATATCGACTATATTTAACATAGTTGGATAATACGAAATTTTATTTTACATTTGACTAATTTTAGTGATAAATAAGCATAAATGTAATAAAATAATGTACTAATATATATATATATATATACATATATTATTTTTTTTTTTTATATATATATATATATATATATATATATATATATATATAATATAATGTAATAAAGTAATGTAGTGTACAAGTGAAAAGAAATAGTGCTGCTTCCGCCGCTATAGTTTTTACACCATTTAACTGAACATTTAGTCATTTTTGGGAGATGTTTTGTCGACAAGTGCTTGAGATTGACGCAAAAACAAACGACCAAGCCTAAAATTGCTTGGTTACTGAAAAGACCGATATAGGTACGTCCGCTCATATGTCTCATAGGGAGGTATTTACTATAATTGCCATGCTTGGCAGGTAGGTTGGCAATATAAATATCAATTAATAATTATTGAGTTATTATCAGAAAGATGCTGATACCCTGATAATTGAATCATGGTAGAGCCACGCTGCAGCTATAGTAATGTGCACTCGCAGACTACCAATGTAAAATAGAAAGAGAAGAAACAGTCATACGCTTTTACAACAAAATCCGAGAAAATTTATAAGTTTCGTCTATTGCAAAAAAGAAAAATTATGAAACAGACTAAAGAAAAAAATATAAATGAACAACAAAACAACTCACCTGCAGCTGTATAAACATCTCTTGAACTGGTGATACTACACTTGGTTGCAACTCACTTAAATACTTTAACTTGGCTTCAATCAGGTCGGTCATATCATTCAAGTCCTCATCTTCCTTTTCCTCATTCAATATCTCTCCTTTAGTGAATGTTAACCCATTGCCATAACTTATGGTGTTCTTTGGACTATCACCACCACTTACTTCTTTACTGAAACCTAAGCCAGTCCTCTCTGTAGAGAATCCTTCAATAAACTGGGAATATTTTGTTGTGTACGCAGGTGTTGTCTTGTTTTCAACAGTCTTCCTCTCTGGCAGCACCGAATTGCAAATCCTCAGCTTCTTTCTGTTCACATTTTCTATAGGTTCATTTGCATCCATTAAATACATGTTTTCTTTTTTTTCTGGTACTTTCGGTTGTGGGCTTCCAGTTTTAACTTCGGAAGGTTCTTCAACATTCACGGCACTGGGGAACAATGTGGGTGTAGCTAGTGCAGCAATGTTTTTACTACTCGGAAACAGAGATTTCAGTTCTTCTAACGGAGGCGTTCTACTGCCATCACTTCTTGGGGAGTTATTTGCACTTACTATGTCCGATTTTGAATCTTTACTAACAGTGTTTGTTTTAGATTTAACTTTGGGAAACTCTTTCTTTTCTATTTCTTGTAACAAATCATCTATGTCAAGGTTTTTGGATTTGTTTGTATCTGTTGATTTAGGTGAGGCTGTTACTGAAGTTGTTTCATCATTAATCATTTGTTGTAATTCTGAAGGTAGTTCACCACCAAGTTTTTCTAATAGTCTAGCTTTGTCCTTCAATTTTTTAAGTAATAAACTTTCATCCTGGCTATCTTCATTATCATTAGACAGTGATGGTTTCTTTTCCTGTAATATATTGTAAAAATCATCTTATGACATTTAATATTGTTTATTTTTATCTGCAACATTAAGTACAAGACCTCAGATTGAAAACTTTAGCCATCATAGTGCTTAATAACATTTTCAATTTTACTGGATAATATAAAAAAATCTGTCAAAAGCGAAAGAAACAGATAATATAACCATGTGAAAATAGCTACTTTAAGTTCAAGTTATTTTCAAATGGTTTATGATACATATTAATAAAATAAATTAAGTCAAAGATAATTACAAAAATAATTAAGGAACATAATATATCCAGGAAAATTGTTATGCTATTCTTTGCGCATCTTTCAGGAGCGCTATCTCATCATAGGTCCGAAAACTGTTACCTTTTAATATTCAATGCCACTAATAACTGAAAGAATATGATAAGCTAATTGAAGTCATTCAGATTTTAAATAGACTAAGTTAAAAATAAGTTAATTAAATGTGATAATATCCAAACAAGTGGTTTTATTCAGACTGGGTAACGCAGTTTTTTATTACCAGATTAATTTTTAAAACAAAAATAATAGCAATGATATCTATGTTAGTAATATTCCCCTTAAGCACTCCTGGTAAGTTTAAAATGCTTGTGCTAGGAGTGCTTCACGACAGTAGCCGAATGGCGGATTTAAGCCCACAACCTTATGAGTTTGCGGTTAGCACCCTGCTAAGAGGCTACTGTCACTTTAAAATACCTAGCAATTTCTTAGTCCATGAAAATACTTTTTTTCAATCATGCACTAGCACATGGAACAAGCACAAATCGTTTCTTAAACATTTTAAGTGGCCTTTTTTAACTTCCCACTTCACAGACACACTTCAGGATAGTAACAAGTGCTATCATAGGACTTTGCTCATTTAACAAACATTTATATTATTTACCATAGGTGTTACAGATAGTGCAGGGCATGCATGGGGGAGGAAGAAACGGCGGCCCACGTGTTGCTGACATGTCCGGAGGTCGCTGCATACAGGGCTAAACATCTCGGCACGCTGGGTTCACTCCCCGAAGTTGCTTGCAACATCAAAGGACTGTTGAACTTCTTTGGGGAAATTTCATGGCTCGAATAATCACATTATTCTTGCCCACACGCAAAATACGCGCTTTGACGTGGACTCGCGGAAAACATCTCGTCTTAAACTAAACTAACTTCACGCTTTGCAAATTAATAATTTTCAAAGTTAGGAATTTATAGGTTTTGGTCCGATTTTAAGTAAGCGAGTTTTCATCAGATCTCCACATTTTGAGCTCTTAGGATTTCCGGCTGAACGTCCAGCTGTTTTATCATACCATATCTTTAGAACAAATCAACCGATCGAGATGATCATCAATACAGCCTTCGAAAGTGTTCATTGAGACTTCGACATGACTAGATTTTGAAGTCAATCTATACCCACAAAACCTGTAACTTACAAAATATTTGACTAATCAACGCCAAACATAAAAGACACTCTTTTGTACTTGAAAAATTAAGTGGAACATCGCCAAGTAAGTAAAATCGATCGACGCATTCAAAAATTATAGCTATTTCAACATTTCTTAATAACAGTTTATTTGAGATAACTTTTAAATTCTTCGATCTATCAACTCAAGACCTGACAAACAATTTTTTGCAGTAAATAACTGCTTCGAATGACGCGTAAATCAAAATCAAACGAGGCGTTCAAAAGTTATAGCCATTTAAACATTTCTAAATAATCGTTCTATTGATATAACTTTTGAATTTTTGAGCTAGAAGAGCTCAAAAATCAACCAATTGGGAGATTTTCAAGCATTTCAAGCTCGATAAAAACAGGAAGTTCCAGGGTTGGCTTACAAGTCAACCACTTTTCAGATTTTTTAAAAGTTCTTAAACTTACCTCTTTTTCTACTACTACTGTATCTGTTTTTTTGTTTTCTGGGGACTTAGGCACTGTTTCATTTTTCATACTCGGTGGAAGTTCAGGTCCAATTGGCACCGTGTAGTTCATGTTTGGCGGCATAGTTGGGCCATACTCAACCACTTGTGGTTTGGTTTTAAATTTTTTGTGTGGATTCTTTAGCACTTTCGCGGGTTTTGATTCCTTCGGTTGAGGTTGAACAATAACAGGAGTGTCTGCTTCATCATTCGATTCAGAGTCTGAGTTGTGGTAGGAGGTAATTAACTCAATTTTTCTGCAAATTTAAAAGTATTATTATTGATTTACCTGCCGAGCATGTCAATAAGATAACTACTAACAATAAAATTTCCCATGTGAATCTACAAATGACTAATAAATGTACTACAGTTCTTGGCTAAATATAACACAGCAAAGTTATTACTTTTATAACTTAGGACATCTCTTTATCTGGCACATGTGCAGTGAATATAACAATAATATTTAATATGTGTAATTTATACTCCTTAATGTAATAATTTCATATAGAGTTTAGTTTTTTCTTTTTGTTTCTGTTAAATTAATATGTGTTTTAATTTGTATATATGTAATTTTTTTTTGATAAATTATTACATTTTTAACATTTTGAGCTCACCTACAATTGGATTTCTTTCTAAAAAGGAATAAGGGTGACAAGCAAGCAGACAGCCCACCTGATGGTAAGTGTATAACTGTGGCCCATTCTCACCCCTGAGGACTAAGTTGGAATGCCTAGTATCCATTAAAATGGATCTCTGGTTTATCATTCAAAATACAGCAGCATTGAGCTGCTGTGAGAGTGTGGTCCATCCCCGGTAGAGTAGACCAATTCGTGCTACAACCATAACATAGGCGCAACATGTCTCTACTACATGAAAATGGAGAGATTGTTATTTTTTCATACATATAATTTCGTATTTGTAACCTTTTGTATCATCTCTCAAATAAATTAACTTTGTAATTGTGTTTGTCACAAAATATAGTAACAGTACTATTAATAAACATTAGGAGGACAAATGACTTTACTGTCCACTTTGAGCTATTTGGCTTTTGGAGCTCATATGTACTTGCAAGCAACTCCAAACAGATATGATCACATAATATGCATTGTTATCTCGAAGGAATAACGATAATATGGAATGCCTTACAGCAGTTGCTGTTACTGCTCCTCTTAGAGCAGAAATAGGTAAACAGATGGTATCTACCCAGATGGATTAAGACTTGAGAATACTAATATTTGACATTGAACTATAATAATAATCTTGCATGAGCTGTAATAATACTTACATATCATATTGTCATTTTTCTGACACAGTTACAAAATGAACAATTTTCAAATTAACTGAATAATATTAAATAATATATGTGTTGTAAAAATTTGATAAGTATTGTTATATAAGTTATTTGACCATTAATATTTGCACACTGCTATAATAGAATATGTAGAACAAATTATACTTAAACACCATTACAACTCCGTGGCGCAGTGGCTTAGCAATGAGTGGCTTCGCTGGGGTCGCGGGTTCGAATCCCGCACGGAACAAGTATTTGTATGGCCCACAAATAATTGTTCCGGGTCTGGATATGTGTCCTTGTGCAATTTATGTTTGTAAACTGCCCCCACAATACAGGACAAAATCCTAGTGTAGGGGTAACGTTTTTTTTTAAAGAGATATTACACAACCATATTCTTGCAAATAAAGATTATTATTAATATTATTATAGCAGCATTACACTGCTGTGTTTTGTATGTTGAGTGTAGATACCACAAATCTTTTAACTGGCAAGACATCCTATCTAATGCTTCAGTGCTGTAAAGCACCCAAAATGTCAGGAATTAAAAATAAGTTTAATTAATTATGGTAAAATCTATATAAATAGTTTTATTCAATGTAACCAAGTATGCACACATTGTTGCCATTCCAAGAACAATTATAAATTTTCTTTTTATTCTTAGTTCACATACATATATTTGTGACCACAGCATCCACTTAACATCAGGTGGAATGTGTGCCTGTTTATTACCCGTAATTGTATAGAAGAAACACAATTTAGCATTACATCAATAGGGTTAATAAGGTGCTTTTTCCACTAAGTTCATTACTTAAATAGTTCAGTTGTTTTTAATTTTTTTTATAAATAAAAAGCTAAGTACTCACTCGTCATCATCATCACTTACAGGTCTCTTTTTGTTAACCTTAGACTTTTTATCTTTCACTAAAATACTGAGTTTGTCAGGCTTTTTGGAAGACTTGGTAATTGCTGCTTTAGCTACCACTTTGTTCTGTGAATTCTGCTTCTCTGCTAGTGCCTGCTGGTACAACTGCCATTCCTCAGCTGATACTTCTGTTGATCCTAGAAATTTATAGATTACATTATAAAATAAACAGAATATAGATATAACCAACCACAAACATAACATGTGAAAAAGGATCCAATTTCAATACAATGTTCAGGGTAGTCGACTTAGATGATAGAATTGCAGCATTGAGATTTTAATTGGTGCCAAATTTCATAGCAGTTCTTAAAACATTTTATATTGATCCTATGGTTTAAAAAATTATTATGGAGCCTGGTACCCATTCTGATCTCAAATATTTTATCGGCAAAGTCAACAAATTAGGGCTTGTATCGAACATAATTGTATTGAACTTCACTCCTCTTTTAAATTTTTATATATTTTTAGGTGGGATATTATTAATTTTTGAAAAAAGATTTATCCTTTTAATAATGTAAATAAATATATGACTCCAATGTTTTTCTTGTGTTTACTTTTTTACATTTAATGTAAACTATAAAAACTAAATGTCAACAAAATTATTGCTAATTTCAATTTCAAGTTCAAACCAACTGCACCATTATAAACTTTGTCCATATTAAGCAGATACTATTAAATTTAGACAGTATGAAACTATCATGTTTTGGAGCCATCCCCATGTTGGCCAGCGCTGCGCTAAGTCTTACTTTAGCTTTTAAACATTGTACCAGTGTTTGTCAATGATTTAGCACATGATCATGCAACAAAGCTGAAGTCTACTGTTATGACTATTTTGGAGTCTAGTTAGACTAAGTCTAAATGGTGGCATAATTCTAAGATCACTCTAAGAACTTGTCATTTAGTGCCCTGAATATCATAGAGATGCAAAGAGTGTGCAGGAAAAGAGAATATGTTAGTGCAAGAAAGTGAGGGTGAAGTTTTAATTTAAGCTATGGTATTATCGACTTTTTAAAGTAGCCTTTTTGTTTGTTGTTTCTTTTTGTGATAGCTCTAAAGTCCCTATCTACAGCTCTGTACAATTATGAGATGTTCGTAGATGAAAGAGTTCATTGATTTAATAGTCATTTTGAAAAAGTAAATTATAATTTACCTGAAGTATGCAAATGCTGTTGAGCTATCTTAAGGGCTAGCAAATATTCTGGAGGTGCCTCCCAAGTAACAGCATTCGTTTTTTGGTTCCAGTAATAAGTGAAGCCACTGCTTTCATCATAACAGGCTGACCAGGCTGAAAAGAAAGAATTTTAGTGATTTCTACGAACAAAAGTATAGTTTTTTATTGCAAGCAATAATCATAATGGATTTTCATCCATTACAGTCTATAAAAGTCTACTACCGAACATAAGCTCCTCTAGCTACTCACACACACACACACACTTATCACAACATACACTCACCGGCACGGAAACTTGGCCAAGCGGTTATCTCGCGATAGCAAAAGCTTTAAGTGTTTCTGATGAATGTTTGTTATGCAAGTATGTCAAAAAATGTTTACCCTCAAGTTCAAGAGGGTAATTCATTATGTTTAAGTGCACCATGACGAATTCTTTAATTTTTAGTTGAATCGGGTCATTTGAGCGACTAAGTTCACATTTTATATTTGTGTGTTGTGAAAAGTTTACTGTAAGGTTATTCAATTATTGTGATCTTGTGTCTTAATTAAATAACTAAAGGTGCTTTAAAGCCAATAAAAATGCCATTAACACCAGCACAAGTTGCACAAGCAGTAGCATTAATTGACCAAGGGCTGACACAGCGTGAAGTTGCTATTGTGCTTAACGTACCACGGTCCTCAATGCAGTATTTACTGAAACGATACCAGGAGACAGGCCGCTACACCCGCAGGCCAGGCAGTGGGGGCGTAAGGTGCACATCGGCCCGGGACGATCGTTTTATTGTTATGGAGATTTTGAGAAACCGCTACCTGACCGCTGTTGAGATACGCCAGCGGCTCCAAATCGCAAGAGGCGTTAATGTTAGTGAGCGTACGGTGAGAAGACAAATGGAGGAAGTGAATTTAAAAGCTCGTAGACCAGCACGAGGTCCAGAACTTCTCAGACTTCAGTTCGCAAGAGAACATGTCAATTGGACCCACGAGCAATGGGCTAGAGTGTTGTTCACAGATGAGTGTCGAATAGCTTTACGTGCTCCAGACGGTCGAGAACGAGTGTGAGAAAAAGAGGAGAGAGGTTTCTACCCATTACCACCACCCAAACTGTGAGTTTCCATGGAGGCTCAATAATGGTATGGGGAGGTGTAAGTTCCGACGCACGTACAGAGTTGGTCATCGTCGATAATCGGCTTACAGCTACTCGATACATCGAGGAAGTTCTTCAGGAGCACGTAATGCCTTATTCGGGATTCATTGGACACGACCAATTCCTCCTCATGCACGATAATGCACGCCCGCACGTCGCACATTGTGTAGAGGAATATCTGGAAGAGGTTGGAATACAAAAATTACAGTGGCCAGCTCGTAGCCCGGACTTAAATCCAATTGAGCATGTATGGGGTATGCTCAAAAGAAAGATAAAGTCCAGCTCCAAACCGCCACAAACTCTAAATGAGCTCCGAAATGCAGCGCTGGCCGCTTGGGACAGCATACCGCAAGTTGATGTCAGAAACATCATTCAAAGCGTGCCAGATCGAATGCAAGCGGTTATCAGGGCTAGAGGAGGAAACACCCGATATTAAAACTGATAGACAATAAAGAAACAGACTTAATTTTTAACTTTGTAGTGTTTTTAAAGTAACAATGGAAAGATGTTAATTTTAGTGAAAACATGTTATCTTGAAAAGAAAAATTTCGGTGAAGTAAACATTAAATTTCTATGTTCTAAAACTATTAGAGACACTTATTGAATGCATCTACCCTTAATTTACTGTTAAAAAAACGTTACAGTGCAAATAATCAGCAAATTCACGAGTGGCCAAGTTTCCGTGCCGGTGAGTGTACATGCAGTTGTTATTTTTGAAGTGAAAACTTCTTTAGCGGTGTTGTACACTTTTTTGTAATGGCTAAAAAAATGTTAAACTCGCATCAGGACACGTGACCTGATCGGAAATTCGTAAGATGTCATCGAAATTATGGATGTAAGTTGATTTTTCTGAGAGATTAACTTTTTAATGTAATATAAATTGTCACATTTGTGTACTATAGTGCAATAAATAAATATTGTATTCTACCACATAAATGATAGTACTTTTATACTGATAGTTAAAGCAATTCACGCAAAATTATTCCCTAACCATTCCAAAATATCAAAAATGTACAACGTTAATATTCCAGTTTTCACTTCTGCCGCCACTCCCAGAGTGCAACCCGTAATATTTTTTACTCACATTTGGTGTTTCGTAATAATGTTGATTTGATCACACTAGTTCAGGAAAGAAGTGTATTCTTTTTAAATGATCATAAAACAAAGCAATTGAAAACATCTGCTTATGAATAGTTTGTGTTACCTACTCATAGGAGATTTTGACAAGTTTCCTCATAGAGGATTTTGCCACAGTTGTCACACTTAGCAGGTGCGTTGGCAACTGCAGCTTTTCATTTTTATAAGTTGTTACTTTACTGTCTATTGCTGTTATCAGAAAAATGCTACTGCCCATCTCCTGTTTCAGTTTCCGTCTGTATCTTCTTAAGACGCCCATAAGACAATATGGGGCAGTCAACGACTACACAGCCCGAATAGATGCCTAATGTATGTACTACTGCATCCAAACCTGTCTGTTAAAAGTCTGAGGTAAGCGGTGCGGGGGAGGCGGGTTGAAATACAAGCTAATTGGTTAAAATCAAGGTTGAGACACTTGCTAATAAGCAAGTAGTGATGGGAACTTTAACTAATAAATTTGGTACCAAGTCTATTAATCAGTACCAGAATTACATTCTACTATAAATTTGTACAAAATAAAAAATAAACAAAAGAAGTTTTATTTTAGTAGGTATTGTATATAGTAAAATACCTATAATTTTTTTGTTTTAAAGAATATTTTTTATTAAAACAAGCTTTCTTTACAATATTGAAATAATAATAGAATACTATTAAAAATAAGTTAGCAATAGTTATTTAAACTGTCAAATTCACTTCCGTTTCCTACTCGTCTTAACATGGTGTCCTAGCAGTAAAGAGAGTGGAGTGCCATCTATTAAAAATGATATCAATTTTATTATGATTTTTTTAAGAAGTTTCGATTAATTTAATTTAATTATTAAATCAATTAATTCAAATATGGATTAACGTACATGCACTAAAAAAATTCAACTTACACCTATGTCGCTTATAGTATAAGTCTGTAAAACATTCATGATAACATGCATAATATTTACTTGTACCAATATTATAGTTTAAGTGGTACAGCACTTGTTACACGTGCTGGTAATCAAAGAAAAGTATAGCAACAATGAACTGCATTGAAAAGAAAGGGATGCATAGTCCGAAAATGTCCGAATAAATCAACGCGAGTTGCTTGTGACAAATATAGGTTGAGCTCTGATTTGATTATAATTAATGAATTTGGAAATTAAAATTCACTTATCTATGAACAATGATGCCATTTTTTTGCAGTTACACATTTGACTACTATTTTCGCACTATTTTATTGTACAGGGAACTATGTTATGCGTCTGTTGTATTTTATTTTGTCAAAAATTCACAAGTCACATGCAAGATGTTCACGGGTCAGGGAAGAGGTCGCTACTAAAGCGGATCATGCGATCGTTTTCTCAAGTATGATGTATTTGTCTGATGTGTTGACAGAAAGTGGTTGCCTTACATGAGGCGTCTATTCGGGCTGTATAGTCGTTGGGGGCAGTAGATATTTTTACACCACCACTATTAACTCTATAATAATGAAATCATGTAATGATCCTGAGCTACCTACATCCATCGACTTTCACCACCACTGCTCCACCTTACACTGCTTATAAAGCTGCCACTCAAGAAGCTTTCTACCCCCAAATCAATTAATTGTTCATAACAACAGCTTTAAAAGAATTAAATTATTATAAGCCAATTATGATATATTGTTATGGTGATGTATAATTATGATGCTCTTGTACCTTTATAAATATACCTTAACAATTATTGCATAAAATAACAAGTGGAGTGCATAACGGATTGGCATGAATTACACAATTACTGTAATAATGAATACATAAATACTTAAGACATGTTTAAGATGGTGATTTTCATTTGCCAAGAGCCAGAAGAGATATATTTGTTGCACTTATAACATTTTCTATTGCATCATAGCCACAGAAATACCAATTATTACCAACATTTGTGCAATAAATTGTTGATTTTCATTTTTGTTTATGTTGTGATACCCCCTGTAACTCTAACTGCCTAAATCTCATTATAACCTAGCAGTGGATTTTGAAGACCTGTAATGATGAAGCGTTATATCGAGCCCAGTTATATTAGGATGAGATAATACCTTCGTTTATACATATACTTGTGGCACTAATGGAACTTTCGCCGTGGTCAACAATCAAACGACATTATAATGAGTATTAAATTACAGCTAATGCTAAAACATTAACTAGGGGTATATAATAGACATTTAATTAATACGGAAAGCATACAAGGAGGCAAAAATATGTGTGATTAAAAGTAACTTACGACAATGTGCTACGGGAGCCGGATGAATACCGGCAATGTTAGAAGTCTGGTCCAGTCCTGTAGCAGCTGTAATTTTATGGGTTTTCTTATCTGAGACACTATATGTTGAGCTAGAGCGCATTAGCACATCATCTGAATCCTCATCAGAATCGCCATAATTACCAATTAAACCAGCTAAAGGATTTGTCTTGCTCATCTCGAGACAGCGGTTATTTTTTACTTTCTACGCGTAAAGAGCTAAAATAAGGGACTCAGTTGCGAAATTATTAAACATTACAAAAGAGAAGTAATGAAACGAGAACAATACATCACACACTACACTAGATGAAAATGACGTTTCTCCGTTTCTCGTCGTGCAATATATTTTACCCATAGATTACTGACTATGTACTATAATGGTGAGAAGCGAGAGGCTTTAAGCAAAATGAATAAGAAGTAGTTTTTTAAATTAGAGAACTACCTAATTTAAATATATGTTTGTAAGTATTCATATTAAACTTACATCATGAATTTTTATAACATGTTTGTTTATTATTATTATATTACTTAAACTATATTGAAAAACTTACTGAGAAGATAATTTTTGGGTATGTTTCGAAATACAACGCAGTGTACTGTCCGACTGTCCAATGCAAATGACGTATCATTTGACACTTTATTGTACTAGTGTGCCGCCGCCATATTGTGTCGGATATCCGGCAATAATAAAACAATTTTTAATTGTGTGTTTGCCGAATGATGCATGCCAGAATTTGTTTCTATTTATTCCAATACAAAAAATTATAGAATAATTTATGGTATATCTATTTGGAGGATATAATGATTTTTGGAGCACAAAATGACAAAATAATCGCCAACACTTTTCCAAATGGCGCAAAAGTATGACGTCATATACTGTCCAATGTTTTGAAACGAATCACCAGTATAGCGTCGATTCATGACGTCATTTGCATTGGACAGTACACTGCGTTGTATTTCGGAGCATACCCAATAATAAAGAATTTAATAATAGAGAATTTTACCAATATCAACCGGATTCTCTGTCTACGTACCAACCATATATATTTTTTTATTTAACTGGCTTTACCGCTCTGGGTTCTAGCCCTTCTGAGCCTATCATTTCTTTCTGAATCTTCATTTTATATATTTTTTCTTCACAATATGCTGATGCGTCACATTGCAACGTTTTTGGGAGATTTTGACGACAGCTCAACCCAGCGGACTGTTGACAACGACAGCCACTCAAGTTCATAAGGTGCCCAAGTGATCAAATTAACTTGAGGTTTATATCTAAATCGATCTAATCGATGGCTATCCGAGTATATCTAGCTATCTGAGTATGAGGCACTTGTTTCGTCTTTTTCCCTAATCGTTCACACGCGCATACACTTAATTCACAAAAATCACATCACTTTTACGAATTAAAATCCACTTCAAATCATTATTCAAACAACAAAACAGAAGCGACAGTCCGTCGACAGCCAAGTTACCGCCAAAACTCCCCGTCAACCATAATGTTTGATTGGTGCACAGACTAACTAGTGGATTCTACCTATTATACCGAATGATTCGTGCGTAGACAGAGAATTATGGAGTGTAGAAGTAAGGAGTACCAACTCCCATAGTTATTTAGAGGTTCGGTTGCCATCTACGACGAATCGACCTGGCAACATATAACGCACGCACCTTGAGGACTGACGAGAAGATACAGGAGCTGGAAGAAGAGGTAGACAAGTTGCGCTGGCATATTATTGGATTATCCGAGGTCCGAAGAGAGGGGGAGGACGCGGTAATCCTCGAGTCCGGCAACTTGTTCTATCACCGGGAGGGCGACCATCTGTCCCGAGGAGGTGTCGGATTTACCGTCCACAAGTCTCTCGAAAGTTGTAAAGATTGGGAGTGTGTCGACGAGGGTGGCGTACCTGATACTCAGATTCACCAAACGGTATTCACTGAAGGTCATACAGGTTTACGCACCAACCTCGGCACATCCCGATGAGGAGGTGGAGGAAATGTATGAGAATATCTCTAGAGCCATGCATTCCTCCAAAACCCACTATACGGTGTTGATGGGAGACTTCAACGCAAAACTAGGCACAAGAGAAAGCGGTGAGCTGAAGTTAGGGAAATTTGGAGTAGGGCAACGGAACCGAAGGGGCCAGCAGCTGGCCGGCTTCATGGAGAAAGAGGGTTTCTTTATGATGAAATCTTTTTTCCAGAAGCGGCCCCACAGGAAGTGGACCTGGTCGAGCCACGACGGTTCGACAAAAAATTAGATTGACTTCATTATGACGACCAGACGCCAACTGTTTAGTGATGTCTCAGTGATCGTAAGGGTGAAACGGGCAGCGATTACCGAATGGTTAGAGGCACACTGAACCTAAACGTTAAGTTGGAGAGGCCTCGTCTAGTGAAGTCAACGCTCCGTCCCTCTCGTGCTCTAATCCAGGATCCCGAAAAATTTTAGCTCGAGTTAGGTAACCGATTTCAGTGCCTAGAAGATTGCAATGCAGTGGACGATATGAATGACAAGCTGATGGAAACTGTCCATGGGAGAGACCCGCCGCAGAAGAACACAAAAAATCTCCGATCACACTCTTAATCTCATGGCTGTTAGACGGGAGATGAGGCTGCAATCGTCAACAGATTTGACAGCATACAGGCAACTGAACAGACAGATCTCCAAATGCATGCGGCGAGACTTACGCAACTTTAATACTGCTCGTATTAAAGAAGCGATCGAGCGGAACCAGGGCTCCAAAGTCTTTGCCAGAGATCTGTCTGCTAGAAAGAGCCAACTGTCAAAGCTGAAGACTGAATGTGGCGGCATCGTTTCCGGGACACCTGAGATTTTGAGTGAGATTGAGAGGTTCTATGGGCAGCTGTACACATCATCGTTGGAGCCACACGCAAGTGTGAGTAACGATCCAAGAGCAAGTCTTATCCGACACTATTCCGATGATATCCCTGACGTCAGTCTGAGCGAGATTAGATTTTTTTTTATAGAAGAGGGGGAAAACGAGCATGTGGCTCACCTGATGTTAAGTGACTACCGCCGCCCATAATCAACCGCAACACCAGGGGGAATTGCAGGTGCGTTGCCAGCCCTTTAGAAAGGAGTAAGCTCTTTTCTTGAAGGTCCCCAGGTCGTATCGGTCCGGAAAAATCACCGGTGGTAAATTATTCCACAGAGAGGTTGTACGCGGAAGAAAACTCCTGGACCGCCAAGCATCCAGATGGTGTGGATGGTATCGGGACGTTTGCCGTGTAGTGCGTTCACGAAATTTGGCGGCTGGGATTAATCCGAACAATTCCTCAGAGCACTCCCCGTGATAGATGCGATAAAATACGCAAAGAGATTCAACATCTTGTGACGGCCCAATATTATTATTAATAATTAAATTCAATATAAAGGGGCGTCAAAAATAGTCTTAAAAGATATATATTAAGCAATTAAGTTAAATTAATAAACATAAAGTTAATATATTTCAGACATTATCCCAATAACATAGTAAATTAAAGGCAAAATTATTGTTTTTCGTAATAAATAAATTTATTTAAAAACTTGAAAAAAATATTTAAAATAAGATAAATAATAGAAAAACAAGTCAAAAAATATTATAAAATTAAGTTAAATATCGTTTATAAGATAATTAGAAAATTTGTTAAAAATTGGTTAAGTCGTGGGAGGTGTTCGTGTATAAAAGAAAATTTTCCTAAGTTATGGAAGGTGTTCACGTATAGACGTCTTGTATGGAGTAAGCTGTCGGAGATACATACCTGCAGTTGTACATATATATGGGGTGGTCGGGAGCCCGACTGCCTGAAGTACTGTAGCACAATGACTAGTCCTATATTAGGGACTTATGATATTAAACTCAATGATACAAAAGCAATACTAAAGAAGGTCTCCATGATGAATTTGCATTACAATAGTAGGGTCGTGGTTTCGAACCCTATATATTAATGACTTATGAAAGTAAGGTCTATGATCCAAAAGCAATACTATAGAAGGTCTCTATGATTAATATGCATTGCAATAGTAGGGTCGTGGGTTGGAATCCTATATATGAATGACTTATGAAAGTAAGGTCTATGATACAAAAGCAATACTATAGAAGGTCTCTATGATTAATATGCATTACAATAGTAGGGTCGTGGGTTCGAATCCTATATATACATGACTTATGAAAGTAAGGTCTATGATACATAAGCAATATTATAGGAGGTCTCCTTGATGCATAAGCATTGTATGGGGTGGTCGGGTGACCGACTGCTCCTAGTACTGTAGCAAAATGACTAGTCCTTATTAGGGACTTGAAAAGGAATATTATGGTGGCGTGTGTGCTGCTTCACGAGCAATTGGTCCGAGGTAAACTTGGACTCGCTAACCGATGTGTCCTAGACATATCATCTTAATGCCGGTGGTAAGCGGGTTTGTTGTAGCAATACGACTTTCCCGTGGACATCGCACACCCATACCGTTTGTGGGCGACGTCGTTGCGCATAGCGATGTGTCGTCTATCTTTCGGAATGGGATGATGAGTGTGTTTGGTAGCACTTTTAAGTGTAACAGTCATACTCAACTTCATGTCTTAGTGCATTAGCGCTATGATACGTGGAGTTTTGTCCACTGGCGTCTTAGTAGTGTGCTACTATGATACGTTGGTGATATTTTTTATATAACAACAATAAAAACTTTGTTACCAAAATCGATAGGAGTCATGTGGTTGTGTTGTGAGGGGCCGCCACCCGTATGATAGTTGCGTTGATGCTTACTGCTACTTGCGGTATTGCGTCTTGTGATGGATCTGCGGGTGTGCTGCGCCTGATTCGACGCATTCTTGTGGTTCTGGTCGATGGAGGTATACAATTAACATCTTAGTGCTGGTGGTAAGCGGGTTTGTTGTAGCAATACGGCTTTCCCGTGGACATCGCACACCCATACCGTTTTTGGGCGACGTCGTTGCGCATAGCGATGTGTCGTCTATCTTTCGGATTGGGATGATGAGTGTGTTTGGTAGCACTTTTAAGTGTAACAGGCATACTCAACTTCATGTCTTAGTGCATTAGCGCTATGATACGTGGAGTTTTGTTCATTGGCGTCTTAGTAGCGTGCTATAATGATACGTAGGTGATATTTTTTATATAACAACAATACCAACTTTGTTACCAAAGTCGATAGGAGTCATGTGG